AAGAAATGTGGTTGAATTCCGCAAAAGATGATTGGCCTCTCGGTCGCCAGGCCCGGACCCGCCGGTTGGTTCTTCACAAAAAAGTCCAATCCTTTCTCCATACCCGGGTTCGTCTCCGCCCAGTCTCTATTAACCGAACGCCGGGCGACTCGAATCCTTGTCAACGTCCTCTCGTCGTTGGTATGTCACGCTCACTCGAGCGGATTTATAGATCACATTCAATCCCTCGAGATTGGTCAGCTCCACCTCGCTGCCTGACTCCTCCTCGGGAACCGCTGTCGCTGTTGCCACATACGGCTCCCTTCCCGAGGACAGCTTGATGTGATTCCGACTGAAATTCGTTGGTTGCTTGTCAAATGCCCGCCCTGCTGACCCAGTTTGCCCGGTCCCATATTTTGAGGTAGCCAGCCCTCTGCGATGAAGAAGTGACTTCAAGGCGGGTAGAGACACGACGATAATTGCGGCCGCGATTTCCGTCATGGAAAGCACATCTGGTGACCGTTTAGTATCATTCCATAATCTAGTGTTCGCATACCATCAATAGAGAACTTACAGACGTTTGTCCACGCGTTAATGGCTTCTACAGTAGCAAATCTTCCAACACTGGCCCCTATCGTTATGATGCCGGTAGAAAATGTGGCGGCAAGTCCGATGATGTATCTGCCGCTGAGTTGAAGACCAAATAAGAGAGGAAATGGAATGGTGAAAACTGTTTTCTTGTCAGTCGAGAGGCTTGTATAGCACGGAGAAAAGGCCTGGCGTACTCAGCACATCCGACACAAAGTTCATGGCCCAATCGATGCGGAAAACATCTTTCGAGTCATAGGTACTACAGCTTCCCTCTATTTCCCAATTGACAGAGACATCGGAGCCACACCAAAAGGTATCCAGAAAGAAAGTCGTCACTGCGAAAGATATCGTCAGAGCACTCACGCCGTAGAGCGCCTTTCGAAGGAACGGCATTGTTGGCGGAATCAGCTTGAAGTAGAAGGCAAGCAACGCGATCTTTGGGAAGTAAATGCCAGTATCGTAAAAGTAATTCCCAGCAAAGGCAACTTTCATCAACAAGATCTGCTCCTCAATGGGAGCCTCAGGAGCCTCAGGATCGTATTCGTCCATTCCTCCAAGGTTATACGCCATAGTATCGGTCGTGAACAGGGCGGTAGCATCGAGCAAAGAAACTATAAGAATCCAATCACTGATGGTCAGCTTCTGATGTTGTCGCACCAGACGAAGCCATAAGCGCGCAAGAACGAGGACGACGGCTAGTCCTAGAAGAACGGCCTCGATGGGCTGCATAGTAACATCATTTCAGTATCATTTCAATATGGTTGACCGAGAATATCGGCGTTTGAATCTGCATGACCAGCAAAAATGGAAGGTCAACTCACCACAACGGCCTCCTTTGCTACCCCTGCCATGACGAGTTATATGTGAAGTAATGGAATGGAAGTTGGCTTGCTCTTTGATACATGTAAAGAGCAAACAATCTTGCGTTATTTGGGGAAGACTTAGAGCACATGGGAGAGGGATTTTGGAAATTGGGCGAAATAGTAGATGGACATGGACATTGTTATGGATCATCAGACTTGGTGAAGAATTCCGCGCCTTTGGCTTCTCCAGGCGGGATGACGGTCTACCAGGAATTCCACACACCCATACACACGTGTATACAGCGTCAAAAACCGAGAAAAGAAAGCATCTTGATGTGCGGTGGAATTCCATCACACAAACCAAGAACGCTGACGATGCAAGGGGGCGGCGCCCCGTCGTTCCACTAGTCAGTCATCTTCCAGATGATGCGATGTATTTAATTACCGACTTGTTGACCTTTCTCTCGAGGAAGTGGCGTAGGTGCGTGGAGAACTCAAAGTTCAAATCTTCGAATTTCAGAACACGGAGTAACTCCCCAAACCGAGCCGCTTACACGACAAGATCACGCTATGCCCCGTTTCTCTTGACAAGGGTCGTCCAACACAGTTGACTAGCGCCGAGACAGGATCATGAAAAGCACGATGCCGGGGAAGATTTGCGGGCAACTCCCCCTTGCCATCTTACATAGCATTCAGTAATCGATTCTTTGCAGGCGACTACCCTTGCCTTGTCAGGATCTAAACCTTGTTTTCGCACAGATGCAGCCGAGTTAACGAAGGATCCGAGTCTCCGTTGCAAGAGCTGTGTTGGACGCAGGAGACTGGAGTCTGCAGGTGCGATGTTGGGACAGATGCTCATCCACTCTGAGTAAACCCACATCAAACCCTAGACAGTAAAGGAACCGAGATCTTACGTTTCTTGCTACTTTTCACCTCGCCAAACCCATTCCGTTCAAGCTTTCTAGTCCTTGCAAGTTGCAACTGCTATGGGTCGCGTCCTTGACCAGTATCGAAGGCAGATTGCATTGAAAAGATCTGTACGGAGTATGTTATTCATCTTGGATGGAAATTACTCCGCACAGTTAGCTATTAACCTTTTATGGCGTGCTGAGCGACTGGCCAACCTCTTTACCAGAGTTCCACTGTATCCACTCATTATGTGACTCAAGTAGCATGCGTCCTGCTGACTGCGGGCTCTGCTAGGACTACCTTACTTCACACGTTTGCGTTGGCCCGAAACATCAATTAGGTCTTTCGTCGTTCAATCGTGAAAGTGAACTGGCGACTGCCTAGACACGATATCACAAGAAGGGGCTTCCTCAAGAAACGAAAAGTTGATGCAAGAGGAAGCCTTCCAACAATTACAAGCCACAGCTGAGTGAATTCGGTTGATGAACAGTGAACATGAGATAGGTGTGCCTAGACACAATGACCGAAATGAGCACTCAATCAAGCATTCATGTTTTGACATGGCCTAGGGCGCATTATCATCCTCACTCTATCTTTGGACTGTATCTGAACCGTGCTCTACCTAAAGGGATGGAGTGGCAACGCTCTCATACGTCTCTTCCGCATGCTTTTCGGCGTCAAATTCGAGTATCCAGTCTTCTCTTGGCAAAGCAATCGTTGTGGGATCCTTCTTCACTTTCTCCCAGTCTGTCTTGTGCCACATCTCACGAGTGGAGACTCCAGTCTTCTGCACAGCCCTCACACGGTCGTACCTTTGTTGTCGAGCGTTAGAATGTTGGGTACATAGTTGTTGAAGGATGAAGGGTATTGCCTTACCGGATGCCCTGATAAGCATTGAGCGCTGTACGAATGTTTTCCTTTCCCGCACGTTTCAGGCAGACTGCTATGGTAACGCCGTCTTCCATAGCTTGAGTTGCTCCTTGCGTACTTGTTGGCAAGAACGGATGAACGGCGTCTCCTAGTAAGGCAATTCTTCCGCCTCCGCTGACCCAGTCAGGAAGTGCATCGCGATACATGAGCTTCCAATCCACTAGTGACGGGGTCTTCTCGACGATTACTCGGCACATGGGGTCCCAACCTTCAAGTGCGCGGCAAACATCCTCGATCTTACCGGGGAAGGACCATGATTCGTCGATGTCGTATTCGTCCTTATGGGTCAGTACCCAAGAGCAGTCCCGACCTCCCTTCAGAGTAGAGAATAGGAAATGGGCGTCTGGGCCTATCCAGCCATTGAAGGTATCGCCATTCTCACAGAATTGTCTAGTCCGAGGGTCTGCCAGCAAGGCATCGGCGGCAAACCTACGGTGAGTTGAGATTAGAGACGGTTCCAAGCTCCGACAGTATCAAAACCCTACCACGCCCTCCATATCGCATATCCGCTGCTTTGTGGCTTGTCCTTGTGGCCAAGAACAAGTTCCCTCGCTTTGGATCGGACTCCATCCGCAGCAATGACAACATCAGCCAAAACCTTTGAAAATGCATGTATCAGCAAGATGTCACGATGCTACCGCATTGGGTTTTGATTCTTGAAGAAATGGGGACATCACCAACCTTGCTCCCGTTCTGAAGCTGAATTCCAGCACCGCCTTCGTCCTCGAAGTAGTCAGTGACCGGCTGGCCAAGATGTATTGGAATCGCTAGTTCATCCTTCGCATAACTGTATATGACCTCGTGCAGCTCTCCTCTATGGCCATTGAGAACAGGTGCTTCGGGGTCTGCAGGTGGTCTTTTCTGTGTGAGAACAACTTCGCCAGTGTCCCACTTGTGAATCCGGAAGCCGTAGTCTTGTAGATCGATACAAAGTGGCTTCAACCTGGAGACAACTGCACCGTTGTGCCATCGCTGAAAGATCCGACCAGCATTCGCACCAAACGATATGATGTCGCCTAATTGCTTCAGCTCAGGGAATGATTCATAAATCACAACGTCATGGCCTTGTCGATGGCACTCAATTGCAGTTGTAAGTCCCCCAAAACCAGCGCCAACAACAACGACTTTAACTCCTGTCTTCGTTTCCAGCGTGGCCATGGTGGCTGCCAGTCCAATCAGTGTAGGCGGTTCTATGGTGTTCGCTCGAGAGACCTTCTCAAGACAACAATATGGCTAACTCGAGAGAGAACGGAGATAGACAGAAGAAGGAAAACACAAGCCTTGACATCTACCGAAGGATACAGTTTATCCTGACACATCTGCCGTGGGGTTGTCATTCTCAAGTATTAGATACCCCACGTTTTCGAGGTATTAATTACCCCACATCCGCCTGGTGCAGCGGCAACGGTTATGATCTCCCGGCTGATCATTGTGACATTACGCAGACCGCAGGCTTTTTGAGAACAAGCCTAATCGTCTTGATACAACGAGACTTTACCTCTTTCTACCACGTGTTGCTCCCCATTCGCTGCACCAAGAATCTGACAGCTCCGAATTTAAACTAGTGTTCGCCTTCCCCACACGCGTACAACCTCATGTCATCTTCTCATAATCACTCGAGCCAAGTTCGCTTTCAGAACTGCCGATCTCAGAGGTTAGAGACGAGTCTGTTTTGTACAAAGCCTATAGAAGTCACGAGTAGCCCCTCTTCCAGACTTTGGAATAAATGATGCAACATTCAATGCAGTGCTGGTCCTCCAGAGCTTGGCCAGGCGAAACATAACAAACATGGCTCCTGATGGTATTCGTGCTCACTCCTGGTGTTTTGTGGCATGCGGCATGATCGCATTGTCTCCATTTCAGTATGGACTAGACTTTGGAATCATTGGAGGTCTGCAGGCAATGCCTGGCTTTCTCGAGGTCTGCCGCTTGGCTCCCATTTCCTATCGCTCGCTACCTTCCTTACATTCCTTGTTTTGAGTAGATATCATTGACACTAACCTATTGCTCGAAGGTTTACGGTTACGAAGATCGAGGCACAGCAATTGGTTGGAATATCTCCACCACCCGACAACAGCTCATATCTTCGTTAATGACGCTTGGAGCATTCCTCAGCTCTGTGCTTGCCGGGTTGATCGCAACCAAATTAGGACGGAAGATGTGCCTTTGGCTCTCTTCTATACTCTGTATTATAGCCAACATCCTCATGATGACCACATCACACATTGGCCTACTCTACTTTGGTCGCTTGCTCATCGGTCTAGGCAACGGAGGTTTCATGACCTTCTCTCAGCTTTACTTACAGGAGAGTAGTCCAGCAAAATATCGCGGACTGTTCCTTACTATTTTCCAGTTCTGTGTAACAATTGTGGGTGCTCTACTATCGAACTTCACATTGTTTTCAAGGCCTGCGTCGAATCTGGCTAATTTCACCTCAGGGTACCCTACTTGGCACGATTATAGACTGGGCGACTGCCCAGCGTCCTGACAGATCAGCCTACTTGATACCTCTGGCGACAATTTACGTGATACCGGTCCTCTTAGCCATTGGTCTTTTCTTCATACCCGAGTCGCCACGCTGGCTGATTTTAGAGGGTCGTGTTGCTGCGGGTCGTAAAGCTCTCGAGTGGCTGAGACCCAACGATGCAAACATTGAAGATGAAGTCACAGAGATTCAAAAGTCAATCCAAGAACATCTCGAGTTGACAAAGACCGTTACTTTTTGGGACATGTTCAAGGATCGAGTGGACCGAAGACGCTCGATGGTCTCTATCGGTGCTGTATGTCTACAGGCCGCATCGGGATCCATGTTCATCATTGGTGAGTGCCGAATCGATTCAAGATTGCACGCCAATTGCATGAACTCACTCAAGTCAAACAGCGTATAAAGCATACTTTTTCTCCGTCGCCCAAGTCGAACACCCTTTTGCTATGACAAATGTCCTGTCTACGGCTGGTCTCCTGGCCATTATTGCAAATGCTTTCATCGTAGTTCGCTATGGTCGCCGCCGGATCATGCTCACCAACGGTCTCGTCGTTTGTGGCTGTTTGCAACTCATAATGGCTGTGACTTACGACAAGCAACCACACACAATTAATGCGGGAAAGGTGCTCGTCGCGATATCTTGCATTTTCATGGTCGCTTTCAACGTAGGTTTTGGAGAGTGGACAATTGACTCTCCGATTAGGAAGACTGACAATCCTATAGGGAATGGTAGCACCCTACTCCTGGATGGTCGCCGGAGAAGCCCCATCACAACGACTTCGCAGCTACACATTTGGGGTTGCCTCGGCATGTGGATATCTCCTGGCCTGGCTCGTCACTTTTACTACGCCGTACTTCATCAATCCGAGTGCCCTGAATTGGGGCCCGAGATACGGCTACATTTGGTTCCCATCTTGCATCATTGCAGCCTTGTGGGCCTTTTTCTTCCTCCCCGAGTTCAAGGGACGGACTCTCGAAGAAATTGACACCATGGTAAGACTTTGTTCGGGACGTTTGGCACATTATAATCGTCTCACTAACACCTTCAGTTCATCGAACAATTGCCAGCAAGAAAGTTCCGGCGCTACGAAGTTCCAGGAATTATTCATTCCAAGACTGTTGACACCCTGAAAGATGATGTCAATGTCGCTCAGATTGAAATGGCGAATCGTGCTTGAAGTCTCCCCAGCCACCAATACTTTCAATTGAAACCATCAAACTCCAGGTGTAGAACCGTTTGTGTTCAGATGAACCCGGGATCCGAAATTCTTTATCTGTACTAAGAAAAAAGATGCCCAAATGTTGTGGTAGACATAAAGTTTTTACGCATGAGACGTCAAAGGAGGCAACTATCATGATGTAAAGATTTTCGGAATTGAGACAGACTACATAAGATAGACCAGACATAGTCTCCAGCCATGAATCAACCTAGCCAGTTCGAGCCAGTTGTAATCTACCTTGGTTCAAGACAAAATGCGGATGACGGCCTTGATGGCACTCTCAACAACTGACTTCCACCACCCCCTTCGTCCCGTCGTGGGTTTCTGGGCCTTCGTAACCTCCCCATTACCAGAGGCATAATCAATCTCTAAGTCATGTATCATCTGACTTTCTCTTTGGAGTTCCTCCATATGCATTCTCCTCCTGACGTTGTAGGCCCGCATGTACCCAGAGAGGCTCGTTTGGATGCAATCAACGTCCGCGCCAGACAGCCTTTCTTTTTCCACACACTCATCAAGCATCCGGCGGTGTATGAGCACAAGGCCCCTAGCTTCAGTCAGAATAACGCACGCCGGACAACCCGGGAACAAGTATTGTCGGTCAAGCTCGGATATTGTTGGACAAAACAAATGATCCGGCCCGCGAGAGGAGCAAGTCCCATTGGCATGCTCATACTTGGCCACGTAGAGGTTCCTGGCGCAAGACTTCTCGCCAGTAACCATGCAGGGCTCGCCTATGTGACAAGCTCGATGTTTAGGGTCGCAAGCATCCCATAGCCCGCTTCTCTGATAGCATGCGAACAACCTTGCCTTCGGACAGAATTGCTCCTCAGCCAGGACGCAGAGTTTTCCCACAATGCATTTCTTGTGAAGACTGGCGTTGTGTAGCTCGACCTTCCAGTCGATGACGTGGTGTTCGCCGCAGAACGCATTGATGGCAGGCTGGGATTGCGTCGTTCCTGACATTTTGCTACCTCTTCATGTTAGCCAAAACGTGGCGCATACGTGGGCCGAGGCTCGTGGAACAAATCTGGGAAAGCCTTGGAACTTGGTAAGATCAAAGTAACAGGACCGCAAGCTACCTTAGATGGATGAGTTGAATGGCTTGTCCCAAGTGATCAGCCTAGAAATCAGGCAATCAAGCTACCTATGCAGCAAGACGATGGAAGGTGGAAGAAATTGAGAAAACGAGCGGGCGAGGCTACCCCATCTTACGTTGGAACTCGACCCCTCAATCGTAGTGCATCAGCGTGGATCTTATATCCCGTAAAGATGCCAAGAAGTTTCCTCTTTTTTCCTTCTGGCGCCGAGTTTTGCCTTGTCAAGTATTTGCGTGGTCCCAGCTGCCCGGCCATACATTGTCTCCGCCTCTTTGGTATCGGGCCGTTTGCTGCTGAAAAATGACGATGTCTTGAACCTTGCTCATTTCGCCCTATAGACCTCACAGGCACATTGCTCGCTCTTGGCGATGACTTGAGATTCCTTCGAGGTGAGACAAGACTGCAATGTGCCAGTTCAACTTCAACACTCGTGAGATTGATCGTTGCTAGCACCTTGCGTAGCGGCTACACTACTTCACAGCATCAGGCTGCCATAAATCAAGTCCAGTTGACATTTTGAGGTGTTTCAACCGTCATATTGTGGCTCAGAGCTAGGTCTCAAGGGGGATGGAACAGAGGAGTGTGGGAAATAGGCCAAGGCATTCCTTGTGCAAGACGTCCAGTAGAAGTTGCTTTAATGTCTGCGTGGCTGTAGCTGATTTTGGAGTAGCACGATAGGTGTCTTGTGACGTTATTGGGCTAGGCCATTTGAATCAATTGGCTTGAAGCCACGCTGGACTACATGCATTGAAGTGCATTTGGCAATCCCTGCAATTCCATTACTCGTCTTAGGCCACCGCTTCTGGGCAGTTTCCATACTCTTCACAATCGAATCCCACTCTACGCACTACGATGCCGTTTCAATTCTATCAGCCAATTCCGGGTAAATCATCTCTCTGGCTCTCTCACCTTTTCCCATGCCAGACCAGCATGGCCTCCGAAAATTGGCCGATTTCAGCCGATTTAACTCATAGCGCTTTCATACCTGAAGAAAGAGAACAGATCACATTTCAGAAGACAAACAAGCTCTGCTGATCTCCTATTCAGTTGTCTAATTCTCCTGTCCATTTGTGGTTGCCCTGGATGATCTCCACGAGCTCATGTCCACATCCCCCGGGGCGGTAGATGTCTTGGCCACTGTCTTGCCAAATTCCCGACTCCCGAGCGTCGGAATCGGCCTGTTTAAGCTCGGAAGAATAACGTGCTTTGCATTTGATTAAGCTTCATTAGCATCCTATTAGCCACAGACCAAAAATGCGATCGGCAGCGGTGTTTCGACTAGCGCCTACAACCACACCATGAATATATCAAATGAGCAACTAGACGGCTGGCAGATTTCAAACATTGACTGTCGCACATAGAGGAAAATTTGATTCATTTTTTTGGTTTTTAAGATTTGTATTCTATGAGGTATGTAGACTAAGATGATAAAATCAATCGGCATGTTTCCATGTCGTTGACTATGGTACTTACACGTCCGTGGCCGAGGTCCATTCCCGGTCCGATAGTCATTATCATCTCATACTCTTCATCATGGCTCATCTTCAAGATCTAGACAGGCAGTTGGCCTCACTGCAAGCAACTCCTGCTACACTAGCTGTTCTGAAAGACCTTCATACTCAAGCTCTCACTGAGCCTCCTTACGTCAGCACTGACAGTCAACCTGCTTCAGTTGCCTTGGAAAGATTTGTGGCCCTGGAGCCGGATAAGTGCGCTCTGGTCTACCTCATTCTACGTGCCACCGGGGCAAGACACGTCGTCGAGGCCGGAACCTCCTTTGGCGTCAGCACAATCTGGCTTGCCCTCGCTGTGGGACAAAATTCAGTGGCACAAGGTGTCGGGGGCAAAGTGATCGCTACGGAGAACGAGTCATCCAAAGCCAAGAAAGCCCGGGAGAACTGGAGAAGGGCGGGATCTGAGGTTGAATCCTGGATTGAATTAAGAGAGGGTGACCTGCGAGAGACACTGAAGACTGATTTGCCAGAGGAAATTGACTTTTTGCTACTTGACAGTACGTTCTCTACCCATTCTGAAAGCTGCAAGCTAGACTATGACACGCGTGGTATGATTCGTTGCGTTAACGTCCTGAGAAGTCTGGTCACAGCTTGCGATGCCTACACTCGCTCTGGTGAAGCCGCATCTAAAATCTGGCGCCTTGATCGTCATTGACAACATCATTTCTGGCCAAGCAGGCTACAAGGATCTGATTGAGCATCTCGACGATCCTAAGAATGGGTTCAAGACAACTACGGCTCCGTATAACGGAGGCTTGCGTTTAGCTGTATACCTGGGCAATTAGATGAGTTCAGACCGATAGATTAGGACAATCGAGGTGGTGGACGATATCAGTCCCATGGATGCATGTCAATACGTCAAAATGTTGATCAAGAAAGAGAGCTTATAGGAACTTCAAGTCATAAGAGGAAAACCCCTTTCAGATATCTTCATTCCAAGTTTCGTGCCATGCTCATAGAGCCTGGATCATTCCCTCATGCTTGACAACCCATGTTCCGTCTTTAGGGAATCCAGGTGCGTCCCCTTCGGAGCCTGCCCAACCAGCTGCCATATACCCGATCGCCAAGAGAAAACCCCCATTTCCAGGGAAATAAGGCGGCGGAGATGGACCTATCGCAACTTCATTAGTCAATTGTACTGGGACTTGACGCCACGTGTAGTCCTGCGGTACACAAACTACACTCATTCCGCATGCTGCAAGACTCACTTGGACCAGATCTGTGAGCAAAGCCTTGATCACCAAACATCCAGTAGTCGAAGTTGGTTAGGTGATAGATAGCTCGTTCTGGATTTCCGATACGGGCCGAGTTGATGGCTAGGACGTTTCGCCCCCAGCCTCGAATTTGGGCGTCACCCCACACATCCCATACCTTGTCTGCAGTTCTCACGCCGACTTCTGGAGTCACCTTGCACATCTATCGTCAGCTGATGAATCAAACAGAGAGTCTACTATCAATTTCCACATATCTTACCAGTGGGGTATCGGGTACCATGCCTTGTAACATGATGACGCTTCTAGGATCTTTGTTGAGCTGAGGGTTATCCCACCAAGAGGCATTAACCCCGCCCCCGACCCAAGGAGCGTATAGGCCATCATACTGAGGAGGAGATGCCATGTTCTCTGCTACCCTAGACCAATTTTCGGGACAATCTTGTCCAAGTCTTTTCTTCCAGTCGCAAGCCGCATTGAGAGCCCATTGCCAGTAAGCAAGCTCATATGACAAGTTGGAAATCTCCGTAGGGGATGAGTTCTCCGTGACACCCTGAATAGGTGGTCCTAAATCATACTTGCCGCTTGAATTGTTGAACCAAGCAAACGATGCCATGTACTTGGCAGTTGACGTGATGATACTGTCCCATCGTTGAAGAGTCTCTTGGCTTTGGTTGGCCTTATAGGCTAGTTGAGCGAGATAGATGGGATGTGGTTGCTGCCATTGAAGGTAGGCTCGTGTCTCTCCAGGCGCGATGCCCTTGGTTACAAGCTCCGTCATCTTAGGCCATCTGATCGTCCACTCTGTTCAGCAAAAGCAAACTTCATCATTGGATAGACCTAGAAATCATACCTGGCGCCCTCCCATCCCATGCGGCGGGCTCTTGCCTCAGCGCTAGGTAGCAGAGTCTCATAGACAGCAGGGAATACCCGATCAAAGTACTTCTGTCTTCCCCAAGTCGCCCAATGAGCACAATGCCAAACCACCATCTCCATGTGAAACCTGCCCCACCAACCGTTATATACCAGACCACTCTCCTGTGGTGGCTGGCCAGTTGCTGCGCTATTGACTCTCATTGCGTATTGTGAGAGTATGATGCGCCGCTGGAGCTCCGTCGCATTTGGATTCGACGACTGGGTGAGATCTACAAACCCCCCTTCTTCCCAGTACTTCTGCCAATCGAGACTGTTTCGTCTGCGAATGACCGAGGGCAGTGGTGGCTTTTGAAGTTGGAGGCTATACTGGGCAGTGAATGATAATCTATTTGCTCTGGTGAGGTTTGTTCTGGACGTAGTTGGATACAACTTATAGCGATGTGCAGTGGTCGTGTTGGAATTCTGTTTCCCAATTCTTGTCAAAGTCAACGGTCCTTCCTTGGGCCAGCGCAAGTTCTGATAGTATGACGTTTCTTGCATCATGTGATGGATATGAGCTGTGCTATCCGAGCTCTTGTCAGGCTCAACGGTGGAGGTAGTGTGATTGTCGGGAAATAGGTAGCTTCCCATGAAAACCTCGAAGTCTGATGTCTTCTCAACCTTGTGGATTGGAGGAAATGGAAAGTCAAATTCAACTCGAAGGGTTCCTTCAGAGATCAACATTGACTCTATGTCGAAAGTCACAGAGTCGGTGTCGAAATCTCCCTGAGTAATGACTTTCACATCCTTACCATCAACCTTGAACATCGAAGTAGTAACACCGTTCCATAGGTCGAGGACTTGGTGGGGATCCGTGATCAATGACAGCGTCTCATTCTTGTAACTCAAGCTGATGCGGCCAAGATTGATTCGGTTAGGATTGGCACTCAGCCATTCGGAAATCTCCGGCAGCTTCGGATCCTCGAGGTCGTAGATCACTTCTCTCCCATGCGTAGTTACAGCGACGCCAGCGTAGTCGTCCAGCTTCTCCCTAGCAGAATGCAGCACGGTATGAGCATTCAAGATAAGCGAGTATGAAAACAGTGGTTCAATGGAACTTCAAAGTCTTACCCGTTTTGTGGCAAAGCGTCCTTATGCCATCCCCAGCTGGAAAGTGTGTTGAAAGGTATCAACGATTGCGTACCTGTGATGTCAAAATTGAAGGCAAAGTCCCCATTTCCAACTTGTAGAGGTGTCGTGGTGTTGTCAATGACCTTAGGCACCTCTGTTCGCACCACATTGAAAGACTCTACGATAGCTTTTCTGTCGATTCATCAGCGACGACCAACAGAAGGAGTCTTCCTCTAAATCAATAACTTTCTATCCTCATACCTGTCAATAGCTGCAGCTGCCATGGCTGGCGACAGCAATAGGAGTCGAATAAACATCTTACAATGACATGCTGCCAATTCACGGCTAGAACTCAGTGGAAAGTTGGCGGGTAAGGCACTACTTCGAATAATTGAAAGGAATCAACGGATAAGTGCGCAGACATATATCCGTCGTAAGTAGTTCCACGAGGTAGAGACGGGTGACTCGGTTCAAGTCTACCCCGAACGCGGGGTTGCGGCCCCTGCCGCCGTTCCCAGTCTACAAAGGGCCCACGATGGATCGGCCAGAAGACAAATGGGATAAGTTCTGTCGTATATGCCATGCAACTCATGCTCCAATGGGACGGATAAACTTGGACGATCATGTGAGATTGCACTGAGGTACAATAGACTTGGGCTTGCAAAACTAGAGACTGGCCGAAACTGTGATTGTCTTGTCAATGAAGAGTCTCACAGTCTCATTAAATTCCTCCTCTCTCTCCCACAATGGCACATGGCCACAGTCTTTCCACGCAATGTACTCCGGCCCATCTCCCAGGGCAGCCTTGATCAACTCGAAGTGCGGAAATGTAATGGTCTCATCAAAAGTTCCGTGCATCACCAATATTCGGCTTCTGCCTACTTCGTACCCCATTCTGGCGAGATCTGCGTCGCTCTTGTGATGCCATCCAGCGGCAATAGCCTGCAATATGACGCCTTTCCTCCGAGAAAATTCGGTGTCTTCGGTACGTTCTGCGAGCTCCTCTGCCACAAAGCGATCGAGGTTGGTGGGAAACGTTTTCTCTGGGTCCAAGGATCCAGTGTCCGGCGCGTTCAGATAACTTCTGGTGAACAGCCTACTGGCCTTATTCTTGAGCTCTACGTCAACTGCTGTAGGGAGAAACATTGCGACTCGCTGTTTCATATGCTCGAACGTATGGACGGTTCGAATTAGGCGAGGAGCCGTAGAGATGAGCATCAGCGATTGCAATCGTTGAGGTATCAGAAGGGCAAGCTCTTGCGCAACCATGCCGCCTAAGCTGATGCCAGCAATATTAAGGTCTCGAGGATAGTACTGAGAATCGGTGTCGAGCCAGCCAATATGCCTCAGCAATTCGACCAGATCTTTTGCCATGTCCAACGTGTTATATCTGCAATTCGGCTTGGCCGACTTGCTGACCCCACGATTATCGAAGACAAGGGAGCTGTACTCCTCGCCACGCAGATGCCCGAAATGTCGATTCTGGCGCTTCCACAGGTTCCGGCTACCACCGAGGCCCATGATCCAGACAATCTTCTTCGGTCCGCGACCATGAACTTCGTACCACATAGGGAATGGCCCCCCTGGACGAGACTCGGCGACCGTAGCGAAGCCCGATAGCCTTGGCTTAAGATCCCATTGCGTCGTATTGAATGCAGGATGGCGAATAATCTCTTCTGCTGAGAGGCTCGTCGCTTTGGTAGACATGTTGTCACAAATCGATGAAGTCTAATTTGCGGGCAGTAAGAATGTGGAGATCGGTGGCTTAGTATGTCGAATAGTCAAATCTGATGGACTCCTAGATCTCAGGAACACAAAAGCTCGGCTCACCAAGTTTCTTCGAAAGCTTCAGGCTATTCATATTTAACGCGACGGAAATACCAGCATCGGCGTGGTCGGTTATGCTCAGTCGTTGAAGGTTCGCGGTCGCTCGGATCTGCGTTTCACAAGAGCCAAGGCCGATGCCAGAATGAGCAACACACCAGCGCAGATTCTTCGGTCCTTCGGACGACTAGAAGAGCAATTGAGAGCTAGGAGGAATTATACTCTGGGCTCAAATTGGCACGCTAAGAGCTGTCGTGTCTCAACCACGGTGTTTGCCCAATGCTAAAGTCCAGATACAATCAGGAGACCTAAAGGCGGCTCGATAAGAAGGTAAGCCGTGTAAAGTGCCTTATCAATGAAGGCTGCATGCTGAAATGGCGCAGCGATAGGCGGCAAACCCACTATTCAATTACATAGCTCTTTGGGATCGGATGGTCCTTTATGCCATCCACCCACCTGTCTTTCTGAAAGCCTCGGCACTTGCCGAGTATTGCCAAGAAATCAGCTATACTGAAACTGAGAGCCTGGTATCTTGGTGCAGGCTATCAGAGCATGGTAAACCTCCGTGTATCTATCAGGCTGTTCGTTGCGAGTCATCTCACCGCGCAAGCCGCGCCATCGTCCTTACGTTTGGCCTGGCTGGCCTGAGCATTGACGCCTAATAGTGAGCACTCCTGTCCCTACCTACGTGTGGCACTCTCTCATGTGGTGGCCCGCGTCGCAGACCTCAGCTTGCTGGGACCGCCCCGACAATGTAGTGACACGAGGACTTGCGCATTCATGTCGCGGATAACAGATCCTTGGTCTTCCCATGCTCTTAAGGCGAGCCGCCATCTACCAAGACCGAGGAGATGTCTTACGGTTACGGGTCCATCTGTTCGTTTAGTCAAAGAATAGCTCCGTTGGCGCCTACAAAGCGACGCGTTTCGCTAAGCGCCCTGTCTGGGGTAACAAAGCAAAGGCTGTTGGGGTTGACTCGCTACGACTCAGACAGCCAAGCCCCATGGTCCCCAGTGTTCAACGGCCTGCCAGATGCGCCAGGGTTTGGAGAATGAATGATTGATTGGCTGTGACTGTTCAGCGCTGCAACAGTAATAGCGCCAACGCTCAAAGGATTGGTGTTACTATTTGCGTTGAACAACATCGTGAGTTGGACTCATTGGGTGTTGTTTCCGTTCAAGAGTGATGGTCTTTGTCCATTTCGTCTTATAAAGTCGGTTATTCCCGATGTTCTCAACGCTGCTCTGAATCACTCTCACTACGAATGTTCATTCCTCTCCGCATCACTTGGCGTCTGTGTTTCCTCTGAGTTCTCTACTTTGCACTGCCGGCCAGTCTCGCATTTGTGCATTATTTTCTCGTCACAGCATCGTTTGATAAGCCTCTCTTGCTCATCTTCCAATTATTTTCCACCAACCCCTCTGGTTTCAAGAGCTTCTTGCAATCTCACACTCCCGTAACCCTTTTCGAGATACACATTCCTTCACCTCGCAACGACAATGGGCAAATTCGGAAACGCTCTCAAGGCAGGCCAGAGTGCCATCGAACTCGGCCGCAACGTACAGGGCTTCGCCGGCGCTGCCTCCGAGTTCCGTTCCGCGGACAAGGCAGAGATGGGTCGCCAAGCCGGACGCGGTGTCTTCAACGAGGGAGCTGCAACAGGCAAGACGATGGGGAAAACATGGCTCAAGACATTCGAAGTCGTTCCCCGCCTAGTCTGCCGTGGTCTCCAATTCCTCTTCGCTCTCATCGCCTGCGGCTTCTACGGCAACCGTGTCGACGCTGACCGCAAGGCAAACGATGGCTTCTCGCCGGAGTGGATCTTTGCCATTACCGTGGCAGGAGCTTCAGCTGTCACGGCTGTTCTCTTCGTCGCCACCACCCCGCTCGGCGCCATTCCCTACGTCGGCAGCAGAATCAAGATTTTCAAGACCTACCGTGCCTTTGCTTGGGATTTTGTCCTTTTCGTTTCTTGGATCGTGGCGTTCGGAATTTTTGCAGCAATCTTCCTCCACAGGGAGAGCGACAACTCGTACAAAGGCAGCAGGACAAGCGTGATGAAGGTGGCAGTCTGGATCGACTTGGTGAATGCAATTTTCTGGTTCATTTCTGGTGTTTACGGTTGCATCAAGACATTTTTGGGAGACAAGACGGACGCAATGACCGACAAAATTGGTCAAAAGCTTTTTGAAAAGAAGCAAGCCAAAGACGTGCCTGTCAAGGAGGCAGGCTACGCAGAGAGCGTATAATACTTTAGGGAGTCTAGAACCAGACCGCAGTATGAAACTTTATCAACCCTTCAAACTCGGAATTAGATCCTTCGCGAAGGGATTAGCTTTCTACCTTAATCAGGACTAATAAGATATCACTCAATGTACACAACAGCAACACTCCACCAGTCTCATACAAAGCCATCTGCTGGCTCGCTGCATTCTGATCATCCCGAGGCTGTATGGAAGGTTCCTAATTGACGACTGCCAACAAGAAGCCGTCCAGAACAGTGCGGCCCTCGTGGACAGTGTGCGCGGTTGATATCATGGGAACGAGCGTCGCCGTGACTCTTTTGTTCTTCCCGACGTAACTCAACAGCGACTCCTTTCCTTCCTTCGCCTTTCCTTGACTTAAGATATTCCACACAACGTTATCGATGTGGATGCATCCCTTTGGTCTAGACAATTTTACCGCCCTGTCAAAGTACTTCTCCTGCTCGCCCCACGATGCATCACAAAACACCATGTCAAACTTGCGGCCTTCTGCGGCCAGCTTGGGTAGGACGCCCAGGGCAGAGCCGAGTATGATCTCGGTGTCGAGCCCCGAGACATTCTGAAGGGCTACATCGCGGTGCTTTAGGTTGATCTCGATGCTAGTGTCGGATTGGAAGTCCAATTCGGCCGCGAGTAGGGGCAGAGCATGGGCCACCTCGAGGGGGTACACTTAGACCTCGACTACCCACCCAACCTCCGGTTGGAATCTCCCTTCTACTCATTACACAGAATCAATCAATACAGAGATATTGATACTTCGTCGCCCACAGGACCCTACGGTTCGAACCAACATCCCTGTGATAGGGATACTAACAGCTAGTGACTTTCGCACCCGCTTCAGCGAGCCAGATGGTCGAGTATCCGCCCAGGGTACCAATCTCGAGAACTTCTTTAGCCCCCATGAGCTTGCACTGGATAGCGAGGAACTGGCCTTGAAGCGGGGATACAGTGATCTCTGGCCAGTCGTGTTTCTGGGAGTTCGCGATCGCGTTGTCCAATTTCTCATTTGGTGGGAGGAGATTCGCTCGAGCGACGCTTTCGATGGCATCAGCAGCCGCGACGGTGTTTTGCTCCTCGGTGGTCATCTTGGTGGCGTTTCGAGTGTTATCTTCAAGTGTACTTCAGTAATATGCTGGTGTGCAACTGTGAAAGTTTTAGAATGGCTATTCATTTCCGCCGTTGGTGAGACTATATATTTGCAACCGTTGGGATGTTTCGCTTACTTACACGTTGCAAGTGAAGTGCTCCAGCTATGCCAAACACGGTGGTGTAAGCTCGGAAACCGAGCAGACCTACTTCGACGAATAACGTTTCTTGGGAACTTTTGCTCTTGCATTGAATGTAAGCTAGTTCTTGTTTGTAGTGCATACGACACAACTTCCACGAAGCTCGGCGCGATCGGCCGCTGAGATCCACACGAATTTACGAAAGGCCCGTCTCGCGTTCAACGATGCATACGAAACCACCGAGATATGTTACCACCGAGATATACCACCGAGTTGCGAAGAATCATGAACTTAATCTACGGATTGCGATTAGGCGTTCCATGTATCATATGCAAGGAAGTATCGAGTATTACACAGCGGCTCCGGGCCAAGTATAAGTGCCGGTTCCGCCCCGTTCCCCGTGGGGCCGAAGTAGTAGCTCAGGCCGAAGCGCGACCAGCGGGGCCGAGACGGAGCGGGGGTGGAGTGCCGCCGAGCAAGCCAAAGCTTCATTAAGCAACCTCAAATCACATGTTTAGTGAAACCAAATCTGTCAAGAATCAGGTATCGCTCAATTGGAGCAAGATTTCACTCGATATCTTGCCTCGCTCTTGGTGGGTTGGTTCAAACCAGCTTAAGTTGAGGACTGGTTACTAGCTGCCCAGCCCCGCGCATGCCGTGTTTCCTCCTGCCGTCTTTATTATGATAGAACCCCAGGTACTAAGAGTCTATTTCCAATGACATCCTATGCGGAGCAACGTACAAGCAGCTGACAAACATACCCAAAAGGTCCCAAAAGGCCCCAAAGGGCCCAAAAGGGGAGCAACAGTGAGTTTGCAACAAAATGGTAGGGACAGCTTTCTTCGACATGCCACCTATCATATGTGTGTTGCCGACACCTGGTAAAATCCGCCTTGATGATCATGAGTGCCCATCATCGAGCCTGTTGAATTGCCTCACACCTGATACTGCTACTTGTTAACAGCCATGGACAGCAACGGGCAATCTTCCCACGGGGATAATTTCGCGAAAAACTGCAAGAGATCTTAGGTATCCGTACAGCGATGAGGCTAACGGGCCGATTTTGGTGCCCCAGGCACAATATCCGTGCAATGCCGCAATTTGTCTACAAGAGGACGAAAGCACCAATCAACTCGCCGTATATTATCGACACAACTCTTCCCAGCTTCTCGAAATCTGGGCAGTGTTGTGCAAACTCTTCTTAAGTCAGTCCCAATTGGACCAAAGAACAACTTGAGCGACGTCACTGCCCGTCAAGAAATTCGCGCCAGAAGATGGATACAGCCCTGAGCCAATCGACAGGCTGCCTAACCTCACTTGCGACGCGCTTGATTTCGACGGACGTTTTGAATCCATTAGATTAACAGTGGATTCCTACATGTAGGTACGGATACTGTGTTGCCTCTCGTTGCCTCTCGTTCATTCATCAACAATTACTGCGCCGATCGCATGGTCTAGACCACATTGTCCCCGCGCTTCGTCTCAACCTCCATTCCAAACTCTTTCTGCACTCTGATCGCGCCGAACCCACTCTTCGTCACAATTCTCTTCTGATTGTGATCGTCTGGCAAACTTTCGTTGCTGACATCGCCCAGATCTCTGCCGTAAACCCTTGTCTCGACCCCAGATCGACTAGCTTGGCTGATGTTTTTTCTCGTGGGGTCCCTCTCCCCGAGCTCGAGATAGCTGTTTTTAACAGCGGCTGAGGCGGCTGGGTCTTTCGATGACTTGTTTTTTGAGCCAGTGAAGGACGTGAGGCGGGCGAGGACGCGTTCGAGGAGGGGTCGACATGCGGGGAGGTTGGCGACGAGCATTCCGATGCCAACTTCTGCTTGTGCCCAGGCGAGGATAATACTGAGGCCTTGGAGGAACTTTTCGGCATCGTTGAGTCCGAGGAGGTAATTGAGTCGAACAATTGGAGCTACCGATGCACTAGAAATTCTTAGCAAGGCGGGAAAGACGACCAAGAGCCAAACAGTAACTTACAAGAAACCCAAGCCCAGGAGACCGATAACAGACGCCTTGACCTTGTTCGCCATCTGTAGTCTCCAGATGAGAGCAAAAGGCATGATGGCGAATATCCAATCAGTTGAGATTGACACTGCGGCAACCAAGAAGGACAGGGCGGTCTGGATTTCTCGAGGTTTGCATTCACCTGGCATACTTTGATGCCAATTTTTCCTAGTAGGAATTGTCAGCACCTGAAGAACAACACCCGAAGCAATTGAAAACGTACTCAACCGGCGAGCATTGAAAGAACAAATACATGCCAGTACCTCCGGTACAGACTGTGACTAGTGCGAGGCAGGTGTAAATGACGATTTGGACCCAACGCTGGCCATTACCGATACGCAGCAGGGTGAAACCAAGGGACCACTTGAGAGTAACCAAGGTAAAACACCAAAACTCCTGGAATATATAAAACCACTAAATATTCCATTAGTCGACTATATACATTGGATGGTATCACTGTTCGAGTAGGGCAGAACTTACGAAGTATGAGTTGGCAACCTGTTCGGCAGAAAGGGTGCTATCCAATTGCCCAACTCCGCTCCAGGCCATACCTATTAAACCAATTTGCGACACTGCCCAGACCGGCTTTGGTATGTTAGTCAAAAACAACTTAAACCATTCCATATTACGCGCATCATCAGAACGTACAATAGTAGCCACCATGGCCCAATCATCCGGTCCCCACGCTTTTCTCTGCGCCCGGATCCAAAACCGCAAGATCATGGTGATGATGTCGAATGGCAGCGGCACCAGGACCGCTGCGGCCATATCCTTCGACGTAGCCGCGCCCATGTTGTCGGATTTACAGATTCGTGATCGCTGAAGAACCGGCCTTCGTGCTCCACGGGTTCGTTTCGAAGGAGAAGGAAAAGTGCCACAAATCGAACAGCGAAAGAAACAGCAAAGACCTGAACAACCCAGAAATCTTATAAGGGAATGCAAAGAACTTAGAAAAAGCAAGCACGGATCTGTCAATTACTTAATAGCGGCCCGACTTCTTCTGGCAACCAAAGTTCGCATAGGATCCACCGATCCCAGACCCGGGATCTCTGCCGTTGTGGCACTGTGGTCTTCCTTGCCACAAAGGGGCGCTGGGATGAACATGGTAAGAGAATTCAACCCCTTTGCGGAGCTCAAACTGTCCAATTTCGAATGTATCCCGTCGGCAAATGCTCGTGTTTCCTGTCCACTAATCAGGAACGATGCTGTGCTTGTCAGTTGCCTTGCCCTGACATGAGATGCAGGAACAGAACGGAGACGGAGATGGTTCCGAGATAGCCATTTGATCCTATTTCTAAATTGATTCAACTGGAGAATAGACTGAACCCAATTCCTATTCACCGCGAGTTGCGAATAGGTATCTTTCGGTCTCTTTGGCGTCCTCTCTCCTGAGGGTTGCTTGGCATGCAAACTCTAGACGTGCCTCCCCGGCCTCCAAGCATCTCATGGGTGGCATGTGATCAGTGATCACTGCTATCGTTCGAAGCTATCGACGCTCACTCAACATGGATAGTATTCGTCGGCGTTCTGTCCAGCGTTGCAGTCGATGCTTCGCGAGATCGGTGGTTTCCGACAACAAATATACACCATCCATGCATCGTCGCACTCATGCCTCTGTCCCGAAACGTATGGCCCCCATCTTAAAGTAGATCGATACCAAATTCGGGAGATTCCTTCCGAGCATCGGGGAGTTCTTCAAGAATTTCCGGCGGTGTCAAGCTGTGAAGAATCTTGGTCTGACCCATAATAGTGGATTACTTTCTTCAACACGGTATGCATACTCGTGAAGACAGGAATTTCAGCCGTGTCCATAGTTTACATAAATGCCCCTCTACAGTGCGCATATAATGACCAGCATCAATGCATGACCTAGTCGGCTTGGTGAAGAAATGCAAGATTGACAAGGCATGTTGAAAGCGATGAGCGCTCTGTTGGTCGTGTTGGAACAGAAGATTGTCTTCGGCCAACATTGCATCAAGTAATACCAACACCAAAACCAACATAGGGATTGAGGGAATTTTCAACTGGCCCTGGCCTCTTCCCCAAGGTGTTGGTACTTGCGAGTTTCACGACTGGTTTATGCATATTGAGATCGGCAGAAGCCTTTGGTAGTTGACGTGTCTGCGTGGAGAGCCAAGATTCATGATCTTGCTCAGCCCCTAGTCCAGACTCCTCTTCGGATCCCACCCCCATGCGGCCCGGCGGCACTGACCAGTTGGCTAGTCCACGAAGTGCACGAAGTGGGCATACAAGCAATGGGGAGAACAGCAGCAGCAGGAGATAATATATAAAGCACACAATTTATCACGTGGAGGGAGGCATAATATTCTCCTCGCCTCCACGTCACGTTGTTTATTCTGCTCTTCTGACATCCGAGAAAAATGGCTCCTTTCAGGGTTTTCGATGGCAAGCTTGCCATTATCACTGGTGCTTCGCGAAGTATGTGTTTTTTTTTTTAAAAAAAAACTTTCCGGGTCTTCTCAGATGGAGTCCTTTTCCATAGCAAGGGTTCAATATTGGCCTTGAGAACACAGTGGACTAACCAGTTTTCAAAGGCTTTGGCGCCGTTCTTGCCGAGCACTTTGCCAGCAGAGGTGCCAACGTTGTCATCAACTACGCCACCGAGGGCTCGACGCCAAATGCTGAGGCTTTGGCCAAGGATTTCGAATCCAAGTACAACGTCAAGGCTCTTCCCGTCAAGGCTGACCTGAGCAAGCCCGAGGCACCTCAGCAGCTCGTTGATGCCGCCAAGGCTCACTTCACCGATGCCAACGGCCGCTTCCAGATCGACATTATTGTCAACAATGCTGCCACTGTGAATGCTCAGGGCATTGACCAGTTGGACCTCGATCTTTTCGATGAGACATTCAACCTGAACTGCAAGGCGCCCGCCCTCCTCGTCAAGGCTGCTTTCCCTTACTTGCCTACCGACCGCTCTGGTCGCATTGTCAACATCTCCAGCGCAACCACCACTTGGGGTGTCTGGTGGCAAACCTCATACGCTGGTACCAAGGGTGCTATCGAGGCCATGACCCGTGTCTGGGCACGTGAGCTGGCCGAGAGAGCCACCGTCAATGCCGTTGCGCCTGGCCCCATGGACACTGGACTTTACTCTGGCCTGCCCGACGAGCCCCGCGAGGCTCTTCGTCCATTGAACAACCTGACGCCTCTTGCCAAGGCCAGACCTGGTGTCGATAGCCAGGAGGTCCTCGACTTGGCGGCAAGCATTGGAGGTCGCCCCGGTTACTTGGAGGAAGTTGCTGGAGTTGTCGGGGTTGTTTGCTTGCCTGAAAGTGGATGGATGACTGGAAACCTTGTGGGGGCTAGCGGAGGAGGTGCTTTTGTGCGTTAAGCGATGCCAATTACCTTACACGTCGGGTGGTCGGATAAGCATTGCTGGTGTTTGGAGCGAGGATGTTCTCTTTTTTAGCTCAGGCAGGTGAATGGATGGAGATCAACAATTACATGGGCACACCTGGGCCAGCAGATCCCTCATATAAAAGCGCACCAACAGACGAGGCAACTACGCTGGCAATGCGACAGTGCGTGAAGTTGCAATGGAGACAACTGTCGGAGAACCTGTCGTTTTCGGGCCAAGTGCAAGCTATGCCTGTTCAATCAAGAGCATGGCATTAGTGTGTTGGATCGCCGACTTATATGGATGGATTTAGTCCTTTCGTTTGGTTCCCTTAGACATCGCTTAAATGGCAGCGCAGGGTTGTCGAAACTCATTTCAGGCACCTGTTAAGATCCCAGGGGGGGGACACTAGCAACTACGGTACCAACGGTGCGACGGTCTCGGCGCCACCCGCCATGTTTAAGTTGACAGGGGACAATCAGCTGAGGCCGTGAACCCTGAAGGAGCCCCAGCGGAGGATTGGGCCCCTGGTCTCACATTCATCTTGCATTTACGGATACACTAGCACAACCACTTCCTCTAGATTTAGCGATTCATGGGGGGTGGGGTACAAGATGTTGTTATGGCAGGAAGGAATTCAAATTGTAGCAATTTGATCGCTGGAAGGCAAAGTATGGTGTCAGCAAACATTCGCTTCTCATGATGATCTCCTGGGCTCTGGCTACATGTGGCTCAGGTCTTTAGGCTCATCCCAAATTTTGTCCAGGCAGCCGTAGCGGCCTTGCGTTTTAATAAGTTGGGGCTGTAAATTATGCGAAGAGGATAAGAAAGGGCATGATTTTCTTAATATCATAAGCTTCCCTACAAATGCTTGGTGAGGTGCCGTGATCAGTACATTACCTGTAGTCGACGATGTCGTCTTTCGCCAAGTCACTCTGAAGCATGGGATATTTTAACAGATGACGGCTTATTTCAAGTTTTTAGCTTCAGTTCAAGTAATGGTAAATTAGGAAGGCAAAAGCTTCCAGTGAACCTTAGACGGTATGTGGCACTTTCTTTTTCCCTAAGGGTTAACATTTCAGTAATGTATCGCTAAGCAAAACTTCCCATGTTCCTCTATCTTACCAAGGTAGTATTACGGATTACGGGCTGAGGCCACGAGAATGTTCTCCGGGATCGGCGTGTACTATTGAACTGTGTTGGAAGATTCGGCGTTCATACTGCCCGCAATATCCCCAACGAGTTCGTGTTGGTGGCCAAGTGCAACCAGAGTAAACTACGAATACGAGTCTAGAGTAGTATGGGCATCGCATCTAGTATTCTGTCAAGTAATACTGAGCTGGCTAGGATGGGTCGCGTTGCCATTTCCCGCCCGGTCTAACAAAGCTCAATTCCACTACAATCGGAGAGTTATATTCTCAGGCGCAAAGGGGTTTCAACTATTCATGAGTCTCGTTTATGTGTAGAAGATATCGTTCACATGATGAAATTAACTTAACATGAATCTGGGATGTTAAGAGAAGGGCCTTTCGACAGTCTTACTAGTGTCCCGACTAAGCCAGTCTTCACTGATACGTTCTGTTAGAATATTGACGGCAGAAAAGGTAGATCTAGAAGGTGGTCTTTGCAACGGGCCCTTCCACCTACTTACACCCAAAGGAGAAATCGTGGGCTCTGCCCACCAACCCCCTCCTTACACATACATACGCAGTTCAATACCGAGATTATTGAGCTTCGTACCGGCCCTCAGGCTGCCCTGCTACGTGTAACCAACACGTTCCATAAGTACTGCTGCAAGAATTTACACTTGCAAATGGTTTGGAGTGTAGTTGAGCCTTATTCATGACTCGGTTTCAACCGTATCCATGGTACTCTTATGAAGGATACAAGACATGTATGCTACGAGGTATTGTATATCGTCTGGTTAGTTGGGAGGCAAATACTGCGAGGGAGTTCTGATAATAATGATATGCCATCGAGTGCGGAACATTGTCAGCATTTCTCTAAGCATCAAATGGTAAAAGCCTTCGTTTTCATCGTTCATCTCATACAATACCTGCACTACGATTGATAATTGTACCCGCGTAAAGACTCGAGAGCAGATCATAACTGGAATCCGAATCGGCAAGAGAAGTATCCCATTAACAACTAGATACTTCCATAAGGGGAAACAACAAATAATCTAGTAAGTTGACTTTCCCCTAACAATCTCGAAATAGAGCATAGTTAGAGAAGGACTGGAGACGGATGTAGTGACGCCATCTAGCAGTTGGCGGGATATCACTGCACAGCACGTCACTCAACGCAATGAGAAATCCCAATCCAATAACCGCGACAACCAACTTCAACTGTTTGCAACTTAATCAACTAACTCAGAGCCAACTTGAGGCTTGTTGTGTTGAGTGAAGTGAAGTGCTGAGTACTAGCGTGCACTAACGCGGTAGCCGGCGATAATTAGCAGCTATTCCGCATTCGAGGGGGGAAAATGGACTGCCAGACACCTGTAATGAACAGGAAGCCGGAGCACAACAACAAAAGCACGTGCTAGGCAAACCTGCATGATAGGAAAGCTTTGTAGACGCCGTCATTCACTATCCGATGCTACTCTCCCACAGCCTTCACTTTGACTCGTTCCAACTTCCAAGCGAGGTAATGGACTTTCTGATAGAACAGGTCTATCCAGACGTGACGAGTTACTCATAAGGTACCTGACCAAACATCTATGAAGTTATAACTTATTGACCAGATCAAGATATCAAAACTTCATCTCATGTATGAATTATGAAGCAGTGAGTCTGACCCATTTGAGGGAGTAGCTCCGTGGCAATTTCCCATCATGGTAGTCTTTGCAGTCACGCAACTTGTCTCGTTGATTAATGCAAAATATCACACATGATCTAGAATAATAGCGCAAGCATTCTTGGGTCATCTACCAATGCTCATCTTTGAGAAAACATGGAGGTATCTGCTGGTTAAAATGTGCCAGGAAGCGCAGCCTACTATCGGTCCGGCAGTCACCGCGCCCGACAATGAATAAGAATTCATGAGGTACGACCGACTTTGAATCACTTGGCAGAGTCGGTCAAGTAGCAGTGTCCAACCTTTGATGTTTATTCTGCTAATAAGCTGTCATACTCTTTTCAAAGACGGGTTGGAAGGAAGCACATGGTCTTCCCAGTCCCATAGTGTGGTATTCTGCTATGTCGTGCTTGCATCGAACGAGCGCTGTGCCACGGAAGTCAGGCGCTCAAATGACTAGAGCTTTCCCGTCTATTCTGGAGCAGAATCATTTGAGCTGACTTACTTACTCATGAGTTAGGCACAGGTAGAGTTTCCTCTATTGAACATTCAATATCATGCTCGATGAACGCTATTGCATCCATAATATAAGCAGCCTCGGGAGCAATGGTTTGGAGTTCTCGCAACGGCTACGAACGGCGCATCCACCCACACTTCTCACGAATACTGAGCTCATGAGCCCTGATCGGCAGCTTCCCCAGATTTCTTCCGAGTTTTGACTTTCTGGGGTGAAGGGAGATCGTAAATGCCCGACCACTCGGTTAGGCTTTCGGCCGAATTCTCATGGCGTGCTGCCAAGGCCCCGCCGGTCCCTTCCCTGCTCCTGCATCGGAGGCTGCGGCCCATGCCGCCCACACTCAGCCTCAACCTCTTGGCTCGGAGAATATTCCGACCAGTAGAAGAATCAGTAGCCGATTGAGCTTGTGAAATGCGATTCAACGTATTTAAAACTTTCAAGAATGTTCATTGTAATCACATAATTGCCATGCCTAGTAAGCTAGACCGTGACGATATCGACAAGATTGCCGGAGGAACCTGGATGCTGAAGAAGTCTTTGAACACTCAGGTATTGTTAGGATTTCCGAATGGAATGTACTTCGGAGGCAGTTCTTGCAAGACAACACACCTCTACTTCATTGCAATTTGCAGCCACAACGAAGAACAACTCAATACCCACAAAAATAAAAAGGCCAGGCGAAGTCCAAGAGGAAAGGTTAGCCGCGAAATATGCATGAGAAGAGAATAGACCCATCGAACGTGCGATCCATGGACCATCCTCTCCAGCCCCAATAGATGTTTCCGCCTGGGCGATTTCCTCGCGCATCCAGACCTTAAATTTGCTTTGACGTGTCTGGCGCAGAATTTGCTATTCTACACGTGTGGCTTTGGCTCTAATGGTCCACTCGACACGTGCTTCTAATTAGTTTGCCTGTGAGCCTCAATGCAGCGAGATTTGACTCTTGACCCACTCGTGGAGATCGGAGAAAATTTTGCAAGGAGTGGTGAACAAGAGGAAAACTGCCAGAGAGTGGGAGCTTCGAAAATCCCTCACGTATAAGAATGCGCCTCAAGTCGCAAAAGATCACAAAAGAGCCGTGCATCTGATGTGCCCGAGTGTCTCCTGATAAATTTGCGTGATGTCAGCAGAGAGAGTGGTGAGGTTACACTTGTGAGCGCGCAAGATGGCTCAAGCTACCAAATGCGGTCGAACTAACGCCGGCTCAACGGCAAGGAAGTAAGACAGACAACGCACAGCTGCAAATCTTTGCCAACGAGGGAAGGTTACAGGAGATTTCCATTGACAAACGATCCGGTTCCTGCAGCTAACGATAGCTTCCTCAGCAGCTGCATGATTCAGTCTTATCTGCAGACTCTCGTTTGCGGAGTAACGTTGTAGAACCCCAAAACCCCAGATTCAAGGCCCTTTTGTTGATGGACCTCGGTATGGGCAGCATGAACTAATATCGTCAATGAGGTTCAAGACCAATAGGAAAGCCAGATTTATGACCGCTTTATTCCCCTTAACCTCGCTTGGCGCCACCCGTTCGGGCCTTTTGCCAAGAGGACCACTTATTTTCTCGTATGTCGCCCGATGTGTTCGTTATTATCAATCAAAAAGATAGGCTCACTCGGCCGAGTGGAGTCCGGCAGGTGGTTCGGCCATCGGCTTGTGGCGTGTGGTTGCAAAAGTTCCTGGGGCGACGTTCCCGACTCGGGCAAGACTTTTCTAATGGAAACAGAAGACATCGAAACATGGGACGCAGGCGGCGAACGCCTCGGAGTCGTCTGACACCGAGGGTAAGGGCATGCATCTAGTGGTGATACTAATGAGTCTCCATTGCTCCCCACCAGGCCAGCCTTTTCGAACTTTTCTCGAAAATTTCTTCCTCTTCTCCCTCTCTTTTCCTTTTCCCTTGGTTCAGCTACTCTATCGGGCCTGTCTTGAGATATCGGTTGCGTAAAAATGGCCCAGAACCACGAGGACACGGCGGCAGAGTACGTAACAATGCGCATACCATCGGTCTAACACCAAGAGGATCTGGCACTGACAACTCGTATTCGCAGGCTCCATGAGACGCTGGGTGAGCGCTTGCCCAACAAGGAGACGACTGATCTCGCGGGAGGCTACATCATGCCAGCCGACCCCGAGAAGAAAATCTTGAGCTCCGCCGACTCAGAATCGGGACCTACGCCTGATGGTGCCGAGCCCAATGAGTTTGAGAAGGGATCCCTGCGTCGTATTGGAGAGAACCTCCCCGCTTCGGCCTTCCTCATTGCTGTGGTCGAGCTCACGGAGCGATTCACCTACTATGGTGCCCAGGGTCTCTTCCAAAACTACATCAACAATGACCCCAATGGAGCCGACGGCCCCAAGGGTCTTGGAATGGGTCACCAGGCCGCGACTGGTCTGAACTTGTTCTTCCAATGGTTCTGCTATGGTATGACGTCACTGTCCGCTTCGCTAGCTGGTAGCAATCAGTCTGGTTTCACTAACACGAGCATTCAGTGACTCCAATTCTTGGTGCCATCATTGCTGACCAGTACTTGGGCAAGTACAAGACCATCTTGGTCTTCTGTGCCTTCTACTGGGTTGGTCTTGTCATCCTCTGGACAACCTCCTTGCCGGCGGCCATGGCCAATGGCGCTGGCATCCCCGGTTACATTGTTGCCATCATCGTTATTGGTCTCGGCACGGGAGGTATCAAGAGTAACATTGCTCCCTTGATCGCCGATCAGTACCAGCGCCGTGTCATGGCCATTAAGACCGAGTCAAACGGCGAGCGAGTTATCATCGATCCTGCCATCACATACCAGCGCATCTACATGATCTTCTATTGGTGCATCAACTTGGGTTCCCTGTCTCTTATGGCGACTCCCTTCATGGAGAAGTACAAGGGCTTCTGGACCGCCTACTTGATGTGTTTCTGCGTCTTCAACATTGGTATCGCGACTCTGGTGCTTCGCCGCAAGACTTTTGTCAACCGTCCTCCCCAGGGCTCTGTCATCACTGATGCGTTCAAGGCGCTCGGCATGATGATTGCAGCTCGCAACATGGACGCTGCCAAGCCGTCATGGCGTGCGGAGCACGGCAAGGACAAGCCTGTCCCCTGGAACGACCACTTCGTCGAGGAGCTCAAGCGTGCTCTGAGAGCCTGCAAGGTCTTCGTTTTCTGTAAGTCAAAATATTCCTGGCTGTGTTTTGACACAAGCCAGAAGCTTGAAAGTCACGCTAACATGACTGCCAGACCCCATCTTCTGGGTTTGCTACGGCCAGTTCTCGACCAACTTCGTCACCCAAGCCGGCCAGATGGAGGGACACGGCATGCCGAACGATTTCATGCAAAACTTCGACCCCATTTCGATTCTCATCTTCACGCCGATCCTCGAGAAGCTCGTCTACCCACTACTCCGCAAGGCCGGCATCGAGCTCAAGCCCATCATGCGTATCACTATCGGCTTCTGGCTCGGCGCCATCTGCCTGGCCTACGCAGCAATCGTGCAACACCTCATTTACAGCGCCGGCCCCTGTTACGAGTCCCCCGGCGAGTGCCCCGAAGGAATGAACGGAGGCACGTCGCTTCCCAACCACGTCCACATCGCCGTTCAGACGCCTGCCTACATCTTCATCGGCCTGTCTGAGATTTTCATCTCCGTCACCGGTCTTGAGTATGCTTACACCAAGGCCCCGCCCAACATGAAGTCCTTCGTCCAGAGTATCTACCTCTTCACCAACGCCTTTGGCTCTGCCATCTCCGAGGCCCTGGTGTCTGTTGCAGTCGACCCCAAGTTCTTGTGGATGTACACCGGTGTTGCATGCTCGTCTGCCGTGGTCGGATGCATCTTTTACTTCACTTTCCGCCACTACGATGCCGAGGAAGATAAGATGTACGAGTTAGATCGCGACCAGCCGGTTCTGAATGGTGAGGGAGTGAAGCAAGTTGAGAACGACGATTAATATCTATACACAATGGAGAAGGGGTGACAGCTGTTGCGACAGTTGCCATCCTCTTCACAGCAGAAGACGGTCACGTGGGATGCTCATGTATATTATGAACAATCAAGATGTATGATGATGGGTGTGGATATGTGGTTTGAGCTACCATGAATAGTATATAAGCTTAATAGAATACCCCAATACCCATATAATACCTGCGTTCTATATTATTTGTTCCACATTGATGTCTTGGAAGTTGATGTACCTTAGGAGAAAGGGGCTTGGCTACTAGGCTTCGGCAATAAATGCCTAGGCTCATCACTCTAACTGTGTTGAACTTGGCTGGCTGTGAGATCAATGCCGTGTGATAGATTTTTTGAAAGCGTACAGCCGGCGGGTTGCAGCATCAAACAACGTCTACGACTCCCTACGAGCTACCTTACTTTAGATATGGCAACGTGGGTCTTGGGAAGAACCACACAGAGCAAAGCCTTTTGCATTTACAGTCATGTCTATTATCGAATATGATGATGCAATTCAATAGATCTGACCATCCGAATCAATGGTTCTCAGACCGTCTGTCTTGTTTGACGTCACGTTGGAGAGCTGATCGCGATTGAATGACCTTTAATGACATCATGACACCAGACCACCAGCTTACCTCACTGTGGCTTTCTCATGACTGTCTTAAAGGGCTCAAAGGAACTCTCACTGTTAAACAATCTCGTTCTTTCGAACTGCTCATTAGATTAATCGGGCACTTACAATTTCATCGGCCACCTGCGTAATCTAAAAAATAACTTTCAAGATCATCCTGACACATTTGACACCATGGCGGACGCAAAGCAAGGAGGTGATCTCTATGACATGGCCAAGGACGGAACCAAAGGTTTGTAACATGTGTCACGCTGCAAATCACTTACAAATGAAGCTGATCTCACTGTCGACGATAGTTCCTGGAGATGCTGGCAAGCAGAACATCATCAAATCTGTTCCCAACCCACACCAAGATCCCTCAGCTGCCGGTGAGCTTGGGTCTACAACTCTACACGGCGCCGCAGACAACGCATTGGACACTAATGAGGGAAGACCTTCCGGAGTTGGCGAGGGAATCAGTGCTACCGGTCACGAGATTCCCCAGTCGGTGACGGGCAAGCCTGGAGGCCGAGGTGGAACGCAGGGCTCCGAGGACGTTAGAGCAGCGACAGGTGCATTCTACACCAAGGGGAGCCGGTCCAAGAATGATGAGTAAAGGAGGCGTGAAATACAAACCGCCACTTTGTATAGATGAACCTGATGAGTATAATAATACATAATACGTCAATACTGCGTATCTCAGTTGCAAGTGTCGTCCTGCATCCGAGGCTAGTCTACCTGGGTAGAGTAAGAATGAACCACTCACTGGTGATAGGGTTATGTACATCCTGAGCAGACAAATAGCTCGGTCTGGATTAGTAAAACATCCCCATCACCACCAAAATACAATTGAAGAGCGGTAACACGGCCAGAAATAGCAAAATGAAAGGGACGAGACTCGAACTCGCGCGGGTTGCCCCACCAGGAAACAGACGTTAAGCTGACCTTAACCTGGCGCCATAACCAACTCGGCCACCCTTCCGTAATTTGATTGATGATGGGATCCGCGGAAGTTGTGAATATGGATCTGGCCGAGTTAGGGCTTCGGAGATTGGGTCCGCAGATGAGAGACATCCGCCGGAGTGGGGCTGACGACGGGCCGCACACAAGTGGTTTGTTGAGCATGCCGCATGGATGACAGGCCAAAGTTTATTGAAATACGTATAGTAGGAATTGTCAGTCGAGTTATGACTCACATGTTTGTAGCAGCAAGATGCCTTTCGGGTTACTTAGTCACAATCAGTTCTGCCAGTCCTCATATTCTGCGAGCTCCACAGCCCTACCACATTTTCCAATTACCACGCGAGGAATACGGGTGAACAGTGATGCCTTCTCAAAGCGAGTATGCGTTATGACTAACTCAGAAGTGATGCGTAACTGTGTGGTCCCGTGCAATAAGGCCTTTTACCTATGTGTGGAAGCTCAGTTGTCTTGCTTCGGTCCTTTGCCGCCTATTAGGTGGGAGATTTTGCCATCTAGAATGCGTAGACTCTAGCTTTCTAAATCGAAAGAGCGGTGCAAGTTTGAATTTGTGATGTGCTAACTATGTGACGGCAAGGGTCTGGTGGGAAGTCGTTTCGGGGTGGATCACTTCTTCTTCACGCCTAAGAGAAGGACGAAAACGCCATGTTAGTAAGTATGAATGGCCAAAACTACAGTGGGAAGCGTGACACCCGCTGACCTAGCCGTCGAAGAAAGGTCAAGTCCAAGCTGGGCTGGATGGAGTCCGAGCGAATCAACATGGCACTCAGTGATAAATGCTCAACAAGATTCAACATGTACCCATCATGTGTATGTCTACAAAACAGAAGTCCGCGTTCGACACGGCACATCAACGCACCACGCACCGATCTCAAACCTCACTCCGGCTTCCTCCCCCTAGCCAACAAAACAGTCCTCTCAACCTCAAACGGCCTCCCCTGATACTTCTCCTCCATGAACGCCCTCAACGTCGGCATCAACCGCCCCTTCAACCCCTCCCTCTGCGCCCTCGTCCAAAACCTCTCCATGACCCCGTGCATAAACGCCTGAAAAACGGTACGCCACTCGTCGACCCCCGAGAACGGCACCCACTTGGTCACAACGTCCACCTCCACGTCCACGAAGCCGGCCGCCGTGAACATACTCTTGACGAAGGAGGGGGACTCCCACGCGCCGGGGCCCCAGAGCGAGGTCAGCTCGATGGAGGACTGCGGCCACGAGATGGGTTGTTGGTTTGGGCCGGGCAGGGCGAGGGATGCTACTGAGTCGCGGGTGTCTGGGATCCAGCCTTCTGTTACCCAGGTCGAGGTTGCGACTGTGCCGCCGGGTTTGGTGACGCGGTAGCATTCTGGATGTGAATTGTTAGTTCCTCTTCAAGATCCTATTCATGTAGAGACGGAGCATTTACCATTGAGAGACGTGTACGGATCGGCCACGAGCATCAACGCCATGGCGACGATAACAACGTCAAACTGATCCGAAGGGAACGACATGTTCTACTCTGGTCAGCCACAACCATCCCAGAACACTGTCTCCATCAAACGAAGACAGGAGCACGAGGAGTCGCCTACCATGATATCGGCCTGCTTAACCTCACTCCCAACCCACCCCTTCCTCTCAATCTTCTCCTTCACAACCCTCAACTGCGCCTCACTCGAGTCCGCGCTCGTCAGCCTCACCCTCTCCCTCTGCTGTCCCGGTAACTCCCTCATCATCTTCTGAATATACGACGACACCACCTCAGTACCGCAGCACATGTCCATGACCTGAATCGTCTTCGTGCTTGCCGATGCCGAGGACACGGTCTGGCATAGCTTCGAGTGGTGGACGAGACAGGGGGTCACGGGGAAGGTGAGGTGCTCTGCGTGGCGGTAGATGTTGCCGGCCTCCGGGTTGCGCCAGAACTCGACGAGGTTCGCTTTGTCGCCTGATAGTTTGAGGAGGCGGTGGCAGCGGTGGTTGTGGAGGCTGCGGCGGTTGTGGTCGGGCCGGCGATGATGGGCTTTTTCTTGGTGAGTTCCGGGCTCATGTGGAGGGGAGCTGGGTTGCTGATGAGGGATGACATATTGGCTATGTTGACTTTGTTGAGAATAATTCGACGTTAAGGTGATGGGGAGGTAGGAAACGATAAGGTGAGGAAGTAGGATTCTTGTGATATGATATATCTGGTCTAGGCGTTGATCCGATGGAAGTCTGAGTGCTTTGTGAACAAGCTTACCCAGTACTAGACGGCGGCAGAAGAATACAATGGGCCAATTTATACAAAACCATCCGCCCTCAAGCTAAGCTCGAGCTCCGGAACCAACTCCTTCGCGGCCCCGGCAGCAAACTTTGCGATAGGCTCACTTGACAGACAACCCTCCATTCTAACAAATTGGTGGAATCCTAAATTCGATCTCATTTTCTTAAGATTTCCTCCGTGTAATAGTAAAGGCTGCCAAGTGTGTGTCGGATCCCGCGACGGATACGCATGCTGAACGGTAAGTGGATGGTGTGTAGTAACACGTCGCGTCCCATCCAGATCGGCGATGTCATCAAAACTCTTCCTCCACCAAAGTTTGGGAGTGCGAGGTGACTGGAAACAAACAAGTATGGAAAGCAATGGGTAAAAGTAGAGTCGTGGCCCTTGATGCGTTGAGTCCCAAACAAGCTTCAAAGGCTCGTGGTTGCCATCCACTTCCAAGGTTCGTACCGACCGCTCGGATGCTTCATGTTCTCCTCGTATCTTAATCACATACCTATGCCAACACTCTACCACCTCGGTCAGAAGATTCAAGTTCTCTCGACAGACCACGATGTAGTAATACTAGTAATCACGTAAATGAGAGCACACATCCCTCGGCTCGAGTAAGCGTTTACAGAAGCTGCTTCGTTGACCTCCATCGTTATTCACTCAAAGTCAAGCACTCATAGACCTCATAACAGCTTGAGATATGACTTCTCCCACCAAGTTTCACACCCTTTCAGCATACCGAAAGCGACACAAAACGACAGCCATGCCAACTATCGCAATCCAATCAAAGTAGGCGACAGAAGAAGGTAACATATCACCTCATCCAATACTTCATCTCGCCTTGACAACTCAACACCTCTCCCCCGTAGAACCAAGACATCCAGACAAAACCCCAGTCCCCATTAAACTTCCTCGGCCAGGCCTCCGCCTGCCCCGGGCTGAAAGCCTAATCAAACCTTACATCTCATGCTCCAGTACCACCACCCTCTATAACAAAGCTATCCGAAACCTTCGTTCATTAACTTACCTCGGGAGCCTCCAAAATGAACACCAACCAAGACAACCAAGGTTTCTCAGTCACTGGTGCACCACACCTCTCCAGAAACTCTATGACAATGATATCCCGCGGGCAGCGCATACAGCAACCACAAGAAGTCCCATGTAAAACGCAAAATCACGTACACACCACAACACGAACCCCAATATCCCACATCCCTTACATCTGCATGAGAGTCCAGTCTTCTCGCCAAGTCCCCGACATACCACCAATTCCATCCCACCTTTACACATTAGGCAGCCTCGTTCCCAATCACCCAAACGAACCTCTCAAGTTCCACCCCCGCCGTCCTCCATACCGTCAGCTTTCAACGGCGGCTCAGAGTCCGCCCTAAGCTCCGACAGAGTTTTCTCCCGGGACGCCGACGGGGCGTTAGGGACCGGCCGCGGCCACCGAAAATAGCATTCCGTCCCATTCTGGCAAACAAGGCGCGGGCCAAGACTGTAGAAGTCACTGTTAGCTTGAAGGTCACTCTCACGCCGGGTTTTCGTATCCGCGTGTCCACGTCGTCTTGTGCTCGGTGTTGTTTTTGACTTCTCGGATATCCAATAACTCAATTCGCCATACCCGTGTGGCCTACCAGCCCATTCTTCTGGCCTCAAAATCGAGAGCCACGGGCCAGCTCAAGGACTGTGTCCAAACTCTCGCGGACCCAGCCACCTGGAACACGGGTCGAACGGCCCTCTGCACCGTGGAAACCATGGACATCAACTCATAAGCGTTCCATTACTTCATATCGCATCTCGGTACGTGCGTAAATGTACAATCCCCTCTTAAGATAACCCAGCCGCCCCTCCAGAGCGTGTAAGTCCGTTTGGGGCTGTTGTCTATTTCAACTCCCATATCTATAGAGCGCCTTGATCGTGCCCTTATTTGCCTTGTGCTGCCCTCAGGGCGTCCACTTCTCGTTGCAGAGCGACCAGGTCGGCGAGGATATCAGCACCCTTGCCTGAATCAGCTGCATCATCCTCCGCCGCGGGCTCTTCTGGGACGTTGCTGCCCATGGCCCTAGTACTGTCAATGCTAGTCCGCCTCATACCATATCCGTCCATGCTTCCGCGACTACTGCCCCTCTGGCGCGGTGGTGGTGGTGGTGGTGGGGGAGCATTCTCCTTGCCCCCGCTGATCTTCCTACTGAGAGCCTCAATGCTCCTGACGCTGGGAGGACGGCGTATGGAAGTGTTCCGCGCGGGTGGTGGTGGTGGCGGAGAAGTTTTGGGAGGAGTATTCTCCATAGCATGCGTAGAGGTGTCAATGTCAGACGGTGCTGGGCTGGCGCCGTGGAATGAACCAGTAGATGGAGAGCCTAGTTGGAACGATTGCCGATGCGATGCATGCGGACGCCTAGGAGGAGGCGGAGCCGGCGCGTTGATGCTTCGGAAGCTCTCTGACCTGGAGCGCTGTGATTCCATCGAAGAGCGAGGCGGCGTGTCGGCCTCGTAACTTGGCACACTCGGAGCGTTGGCCCCAGCATTGGCAGTCAAGGACTGGCTCCGTGCGTGGCCCCGCCGTGGTGGAGGGGCAGGTGTCGGTCTCTTGCCTGTCGCCGGGAGAGTCGGGATGGGTGTTGAGCTGGGTGTGGGGGAGTCCAGCTCCGGAACTTTGCCAGCGGCTTCACGAGCAAAAACATCTTCCGTTTCATCCCCGCCGTGACTGGTTGGAGCGGGCGGGAGAGGCTTGTTTACGTCGGACGGGGAGATGGGCGACGCAGTCTCTGAGGATATGTGCGGATGACCTGAAGTCTGCACGCTAATCTTCCTGCCGTGCCTTGAGCTAGGCGGCGGAGGTTTCTTCTTCATGGAAGGAGATGATGCCAGGAGAGAACGTTGTTCGTCAACACCGCGTTCCGCGATATCCTGTGACGTCCGCGGCGTTTCCAGCTCTGGTGCAGCGTAGGATGCACTAGGCGCCTTGTCTCCCTGTGACACTGGTTTCTGCGGGGGTGGTGTTCCAGCACCGGCCTGGCCGGTGAGTAAGAGCATCTTGAAGGCGTTGACGTCCATCGCTTTGGTCGAGCCGCCAGATGAAGGCTTCCCGTTCGTCAAGCCTTCCAAATCTTGTAGCGTCTTGCCAAAGGGATTATCGGGTGTATTACTCGCATTGGCAATGCGAAGCGGCGCAGCCTCGGGCAGGCCGCCGGGAAGCTCGGGAAACCGCTTTGAGAAGTGGTCGTCTTCGTCGTGGGAATCTTCGTCGCTGCTGTCGTCCTGGCGTCCGAAGCCTCTGCTGTGTACGGATTCTGGGGAGGAAGGCGACGAAGGTGGCGGCGAAAGGACCCTAACCTTCTTCACGACCTTTGGCTTGGCTGGCCGAGCCTCGGGAGGCGGAGGGCCATTCTGCCTCGAGATGCCGGAAGTAATGGACTCGAGAAAGGCCGATGTAGAGACAGGCTGAGGCGTCGAGATGGAGAGTGAGGTGGAAGCAGACTTCCTTCGAAAGGGGTTGTGTTCGGAGGCCATGTTTGCGACGAGCAAGGCTCGGAATGGGCGGGTTTATCTTGTAACGTGCAATCCTGTCGAGGGAGGAGTTAGGCAGCCGCCATGGCCAGGTCTCGGTAGAACGAGACGCGGACGTTGTCGTCGTGATGGCCGAGGGGAAGCTGTCGAGGTAGGTAGGGTGGTGCGACGAAAACTACGACGACGAAGACGACGACGACGACGACGACGACGACGACAACAGCAACAGCTACGACGAAATTTCAGTGGCCGATTCGAACTCGTTGAGGTTCGACTGAGGACAGACAGGCTGGGCAGGCGGAGGGTCTCGGATGGATCGCTGGCTAGATCGAGGGGTAGGGGTTATTGGTGCTGGTAAGGTACTGGTACAGGGTACGGGGTACGGCCACGGGTACTGCGGGCGAGCGTCAGTTTCGTCGACCGGAAGAATCGGTTGGCAAGTACATCAGTCAGTCAGTCGTAAGGGACGGTGGAAGGGCGGATTGGGTTCGGGTTCGGGATGACGGACAGCCCAATGGGGAAAACGAGGGGTCCAGGTTCTGTTGCTTACCAAGTCGCCGACTGGAGGAATGATGTTGCGTTGAGAGAGCTGCGGTTATGGATGAGGATGTGCTGATAAGTGCTGGTAGATACGATGAGAGTAGACAACCTAGAGTACGAGGGTAATATCCGCAGACGCAGCAGTACGACGTGGGGAGAGAAGTGGTGTGTAGTGGCAGTGCTGATGCTGGCGGGATAGAAGTTGGGTTTGAACTGGACTGGACGTGTCGGGGAACGGAGGAGTTGGTGGATGATGAGATGAGATTGGACAGAAAGAAGACGTCAGTCCGAGGGGACGGTACGGTGCGATTCGACACAATGCAGGAGCGGATAAGACCAGCGCCAGGGGGAGCTATCTGCTTATCGTCCCTACCTAGGTGAGTGCCTAAGTACCTGGTAATCGAAGGGCGAAGTGGGTTGGTCACTGGTGTTGGCCCTTGGGTGGTGATTGACGACACTTTTGATGGGGGCCCGATGGAACCTGGCGGCGGGCGGTACCTGATAGGATAGGTATTCGTAGGGGGATGATGAAAAAGAGGAGCCCGTTTGGTGTTGTGCTGTCCCGTTTAGATCGCCCGAGTCCAGGTAAGGCCGGTTGGTTGTTTCCACCTCAGCCTGGTACCTCTGTCACACAGAAATAACAGTTGAAGGTACCTGCTGTGCTGCTGTAATTCCCATGGTAATGATAGAAAGTGAGAGGGAGAACAAGTTCCAGATGTGTAGCTTTTGCTGTTCCAGCCAAGGCAGCTGCAGATGCAAGCTCTGTCCCGAGGTAGGTGATTAATACCTGAGGTGTTGCCTCGAGAGTCGAGACTGACGGGAGTGACTGAGGCTGACGCAAGTGAGAGACAGGCAGAAAGAGAGGAAGCGACCTTCTTCCCCGTCCCTCCTTCTTCTTCGTCCCTGTCAGCACCATCGAGGAAAGAGCATCACCCAAGTGCTCCGTACGAAGTACGAGTCGCATATATGGTGTATGTACCCGGTACCTTGCCTCAGCAACATTCTCCCCCACATACCCCGAAACGGACGGGAGGATTAGGTGCGCACGAGCCAGACCATTCTCACTCACTCACTCGTTCACCAATGCTCTCTTTCATACGGATACTCACTCACATTTCACAGCTCACAGACGTATGATCTTATGCCTCGTGCCTCATGCCTCACGGTGACCCGTGTTTCTTCACTCTCCACCGCCTCGGCCATCCTCTGTTCGCATCTCACTCCCCGTTCTTCGGATTCTTCTCTCTCAGTCTCAAGGGTCAGTCTCTGCAAAGACCTGATTGTGCCGCCTCACTCTTCATGGCAAACACAACCATCAACCCCCTCCTGGAGAACCCCTCGTCCATGGTCCCCTTAGGTGTGTGCATTCGTACGACCTACGGGACCCTTTAACGCTCAGATCACACTCTCTCAATCCTCGACATGCCGGGGCGTCGCCCCCAACTGGACGGTTGCCCCCTGCACCTGTCGCTCAAGCCGTTCCGGATTGACAACAGGGATCCCGGAACATGGATCGCTACGTTGCTGTGTACGGAGTATGGCACATATGGATACAGGTGAGGGGAAGGCCAGCATGAACTCGCACTCTTCTAAACACCAGCACCCAGATTCTCTGAGATACCTATATCCGTACCAAATGCTTCTACGGATAGTCCGAATCTCATACTTGCAGTTCCCAGGTTGTCTCTTGTCTCGTCGCCTCTGCCCCTCCCCTCCTTGCTTACCTCACCGCAATGCAACTTCCACGATGTACACTCTACTGCCTTGGGTATGATGCCAACGCCTCGCCCGCCAATCCCCCAAAACATCAAGGTTTGTTTCAGGAACACCAATGGGAAAGCAAGCTCGGGGCTAGTTATCCGCGTCACTCCTTGTCACCGTCCACGCCTGCAACATGCACCGCACCGCACAGCACCGCTCTGCACCACTTGCTCACGCGCTGGCAGCAGCCCGGACCTCATGCCGAGCGGCGACTCCAATACATACATGGCACTGCAGCACTACGCAGTATGTATCCGTACCTGCGCCAACACCGGACCAGCATCAACGTGACAACTGCAGTCTACCCACCAGACAGAGGAGCAAGAGACAGCTCGCAGAGACAGAGATGGACACGGAGAGGGGTCGACGGAAGAGCCACGGCCAAGTCCTCCACCTCCCTCTCAACAGGTCGCCGTTCTCTGAAGAAGCTCCGAGCTCGACATTTGACGCCGTTACGCCTGCCCTTGACACTCTTCCTCTACCGCAAGACGTTTCCCGTTCATCCTGCCAGACAGTGAGAACGACGCTGTCAAACACACTCGAGGGCAGCCTCCTCGGTTGCCCACGTGAACATCTCCATCCAACATGCCCGGGACTTACCTATCTTTCCTCAGACCGAACAGCCGCAGCATACCATACACCCGATTCCAAAAGTCGCAGGCCGTCAATAACATGACTATAAAACCAGCTATCTGCAAAGAAGAGCGATACCTAACGGTCTAACCAACGCCGATGACAGTCGTCTCCACCTACACAGCATCCTTAGTCAGCACCACCACCAACCAGGGATCAGCAACCAGCAGAGAGCGTGGCGCCATCCCCTCCTCTTCGCACGTGTCAACCCGTCCAGTCCGTCCATCCCCCGGGGCGGGGGGTTTCCCAGGACACCGCACGCCGGCGCAATAATCCTCCCCAACTCAAAATCCAAGGTAAGACTGAACGACACACGCCTACGTAAGATGAGCACGTAGACCATCCCCAATCTGAAAGGCTGGTCAAACAATTCCTGACTCACGGCTCAAACCAAGAGTAATCTACTAGAGGGGAAGCCGTAGCACCGAATCATCACGCTTTCCAAGGACCATGTTCGCTCACACCTCTTCACCTTTTCACGTCTTCGCACTTGAGAATCGCAGACAGTGAACACATAACGGGCCTTGTTGAGATACTGTTGGCAGAGAAGACAGAGCTCAGCCGGACTGTTATATGCCAGGCTGTAAAACCACCACCGGCGACTGGCGCGTCCCGTCTCAGACCAAGGCACGTCCGGTCCCAGAGTCAGACAGACCACTTAACAAAACCACCGTGGCTTGAAGCTGGAGGACAGGACCGCAATGCCACGCCTACCTATTTCCAACAGACTCTACATATAAAACCAACTACATATCATTCTGTATCCAAGAAACAGCCACCTAGAAATGAAAAAAGGATACTCTTCCTCCCTGTTATCGAGCTATGAAAGAGGGGGCACGTGACACAGGTTCCCTCTCCGACACGCCGGCCAACGGCACGGACGCCACTCAGCTCTCAGGCCTCTCCCCCGAGAGTCCAACTTCCCAAGGCAGCCTCTCCCTCACAGCCTTATCTCTTTCCGGGTCTTTTCGTCTCGGGCGGCGCGGTCGCGGTGGTCCGTCCGGCGGTTAAATCGACGAATACTGACAAGGGGAGGACAAGGGGAATTGGGAAGCGTAGGTAGGAAGCTTGGGAAAATGTCCAAAAAAACGTAAACAAGAAAAAAGAGACCCTGGGAAGGATGAACCGCGTCGGCTCCACCCCGAAACTCCAGGGCCCTGCCAGTCTTTGGTCTCACGGCGCGTTCCAATTTCTCAGACATCCTCCTAGTAGTATTACGGCGGCACCTCAGCTCGTCCTTCTTCTCAAGTAGTCCATTTTCTAGGCTCGCACCTCGTTTAGAATTGTGAACCCTCCGTGCCTAGAAACTAGCCATGATCCAGGCGAGTATCAAACAAGACGGGAAGACATTTCGTATCATGCAATATCATTTCCTTCAGAGCCACCCGGTAATTGCAAGCGAGACGCCGCGTTTGCCGTGCCCCTGACCAGGCTTCCTCAGTCAGTCCCGCCGTGGGCTGTACAAATCGTCAAATTTGGCGCGTTGGGGTCACATGTCGAGCATCACACAAATCAGGAGAAAAGTCGTAACAGTGAAAGGCTCCCATCGTTGGTATATCGCGCGAGCTATAGTTACAGTAGTCGGAAGGGGGATCCGTCTCGTGCTGGCAAAGCGGGAAACTCAAGAGGTAACCCGCCAAGCACGCGGGAATCTTCTCTCGAAAAAAGACAACATGAAGCCCCCGAACCACGCGTCGCGCTTGATCAAAAGTAACCGCAACATATAGAAAGAAAGAAAAAAAAAACCAGCAAGACAAAAACAAGTCACAAGACAACGCAGTTGCGTTTTCCCCCCAGGTTGGTTTCCCTCCAACGCTTCCCGGCCCATTGCCCTTTCCCAGTTAGTTAAAATAACAACTCCCGTAAACGCCTTTCGACAAGATTTCGTGACACAAAAACAGGTGTGCAAAGAGCCGAACAGATTTACTCGACACTGCAACGTCGTTCAAGGTGGGGGACATAAGGAAGTGACCCTTTATGCCGTGGCAGCGGGAGCCTCAGCCTTGGCCTCCTTCTTGTCGGCGGCGGCCTTCTTGGGCGCTGCCTTCTTCGGGGCGGCAGCCTTCTTGGGAGCAGCGGCCTTCTTCTCCTTGGGCTCCTTTGCCTCCTTCTTGGCGGGTGCTGCCTTCTTCTCAGTCTTGGTGACGCGACCAGTCTTGGTCTTGCTGAGGACGACGGGCTTCTCCTCCTTGGCCTGTAGATATGTTAGTAGTGGACAGATGATATTAGTAGGTAGTCAACATACGGCAGCAGCCTTCTTGGCGGCGGGCTTCTTCTCCTTCTTCTCAGCAGCAGCCTTCTTGGGGGCAGCGGCCTTCTTCTCCTTGGGCTCCTTTGCCTCCTTGGTCTCCTTCTTGGCGGCGGCCTTCTTGGGAGGTGCAGCCTTCTTCTCCTTGGGCTCCTTGGTCTCCTTCTTTGCTGCGGCCTTCTTCTCCTTAGGCTCCTTGGCCTCCTTCTTCGCGGGGGCCTTCTTCTCGGCGGGCTTAGGCGCCTTCTTGGCGAGCTTGGTACCACCGGAGGGACCTTGGTGGATGTTAGTATTGTTTGAGATAGCAGACGGACAGACAGGCAGTAACGCACCCTTGGGCTGCTCGAAGACACCCTTCTCGACACCGGCGCGAAGGGCCTTGTTGAAGAGAGAGTCGAACATGTTGTCGCTAACGGTGTTGATCTGGTTGTTGGCCTTGACGTACTTCTTCAGGGACTGGCGGGAAGATCCGTTACGGTCCTTGAGCTGTAGGAGGGGTGGTGAGTCAGTTAAGAGGAACATGAGAATGGGTGGTCCATCGTCGTGGCGGTGACGGGTGGTAGCGCGATCGAAGGTCACGGGCACTAGGTGCGAAAGGCAGGTGACCCGACCCGTGGGTCCTCCGATCGCGTAACCATTTGCGCCGGAGATGGAGGAGCGGTAAAACGTACAGCGACGATGGCATCAGTGATCATGTCCTGTGGAGAGTTAGCAACCAACGCGTCATGCAAAAAGCCGGACTAGTTGAGGTACAAACCTGGTAGCTGGCGTGGGTGGACTTCTTGCTGGGGGCAGCGGCGGCGCCCTCGGTCTTCTTGGGAGGCATTGTGATTGTTTTGGGAGGGTTGTGTGGATGCGTTAAGCGTGAAGGTTTGCTATGAAGCAGGATTCAATCGAAAAAGCGATTGAAGTCGATTTAGAGACGAGTGTACTTTTGAGAAGTTGCGAAAATTAGAATCGACGCGTTGTGGTTGAGAGAGACGAGAGATGAAGAGATCCGGAACGAGATGGTGGAGGGGAAGCGCGTGCGTGGAGGGGATGGGGCTTGTTTTTATAAATGGGCGGGGGCCGTTGGGCGCGGTGCGCAATCAGTAACTTTTGGGGACGAGGGCGCGGGCGCAGGCGTTGGATTTGAGGGTGAGCCTTGAGGTGCCTTCTTTTTTTTTTCTCGTCCTCCCGTCCATCTTTTTGGTGCGGGTGCCTTTTGGGCCCTCCAAATCCCCCGTCCATTTTGGGGGGGACGGTCGCTAAATCACGCGGACTGGGGGGCTTCCCCCTCTCAACTTTCAGTCTCTCACTTCGCATCTCACTCACCCCCGAGTTCCCCCCCTCTCAAAGAAAGCACCCTCTTTTTTCTCATTCCCTTTTTTTCTCCTCGCATCTCACTCACTCACTCGGTTCTTACCCCAATAAGACCATCAAGTGACCACGGTAGCTTAGAATAACCTCCAGAGATGTCTCCCGTTGGATTTGGCAGGGTCTGGGCAAGTTGATAGGGTACTTTTACTCCATAACTATGAACGGCGTATGGCAGCTCTACGGATACGTCGAGTAAGGTACCTTACCTTAAGATGTGAGGCTGTCCAGGCAGTCGACAGCATGCCACGGAGCCCCAGCTTTGAAGCGATGCCCTTTGACGTCCGCTTATCTTGCCTTCCACGTCTCATTGTATCCCCAGTCTCTTCCCGCTTCTCTCCCGACTCAACCTCATTGTCCTCATCCGTCGGCGGCGCGTCTTTCTCGACTTAAATCGCCGATTAGCGCGGGAGCGGAAGAGACGTGCGTGTCTATTTTGGACGTGTCCAGGACTACAACCGGAGCGATGGTGGGTGTTCTAAGAAATCCTCGGCCGGTGACAGATTCCAGCACGGCCTCGCCCACCTCGGTCCACGGCCTCTTTCTTACCCCCTTGATATGGTTCTTTCTTCTCTGCGGTATCTGTTTTGGTATTCGAATCGACAAGCAGCATCACTGATTGTTCTGATAAACAAACGGCAACGGTTAGTTGAGTCGAACGGGCTGGCCTTTGAGTTGGTGGGCGGACCGCGGCCAAGCGGCGCCCCCCACTCCTCATTCCAACTGAAGCTCAGCTCAGATCAGCCCAGTTCACCCTCCGTCGCCGGAAGCACTCGAGCTCCCCCGGCCCCCAGCTCCAGGCTATGCATGAAGCTTCTGAGGCTTCTGTCGTCTCTGCCGTCACACCCTGGACGGGTCCCTGGTCTTCCCTGTCCGCCCCAGGGTTGATGTAAGGCACTGGATTCAGTATCCGTAGTGAGTGCAGTGGTGGTGAGTGGTTCCAGCACATCCCCCCTCGCCAGTCGCCACGCTACACCCCTCAATGGGTGCTCCAGTCACCTGCCCTAAGAGAGCCGGGGTAGTGTTCTGGTGTTTTTCTACTGCCGTTCCTAGTGAGTTGGGGGTGTGTGTCTTTGAGATGAGACTCACGATAACGACAGAGTGAGATGAGGACAGAGCCACAGCCGCAGTACCTTACCTACGGCCCCCCAAGTTCCTGAGCCCACCAAACTGAGGCGGATGCCCTGGACGGTGGACAGTGGAAGGCGCGAACTCATCCACCTTCTCTGCGCCTTCCTACCGTCAGTTCAAGATCAGCCATCCCAGACTCTCAGGAAGGAGGTGCATGGGTTCTTTCCCTCCCTCTTCCCCCCTCCTGGCTCCTGCACCTGCCATGCACCGCTGCACTCCTGCCCTGAGCCCATCGCCCATCCCGCCCGTTCTTTCCCATCCAAACTGCCATGGTTTCTGCCACGCTCAATTGCCTCAGAATTCAGAAAGCACCAGACGGAAAGGGAGGGCAAACAAAAAGATACATTGCCCTTGTACCTTTTCTTATCCTCCATTTTCCCATCCGTCGTCTTTTTTATTTTCTCCTTTCCTTTTTTCTGATTGGTCCAATTAATTCCTCGCCGTGATGCTCCTGCTGCCCCCGACACTGGCAGGTCCCCGTGGACCGTGAGGTGGTCCCTTCCCCTCCCCGTCCCGAATGCTCAGTCTCTGATGCCGCACACGTTCGCGGGTCTCCCATCTCCCACCAAACTCATTCTCATCGCCCACCTCAACCACCCTCTCCTCTCCTCGCCCTTCTCCTCTTTCTCTTCTCTCTTGATTCCCTCTTCTTCCCGTTTACTCACCCTCCATTACGAAAAATGACTCATTGCACGCCGTTGCCACGTTTTTGAGTCTCGCATCCGCCGATCCACCGTCCTCCGACCCGGCCACAATTTCCCTCGCATCCTCACGCCTTTCCCCCGCCGAGATGCCCGGTTTTTGCATCATCGCCCATCTTCGTCTTCACCTCCGACCGCCAATGCCGTCCGTCGCATCCGCCATCTTGCCTCTGACTCTCGGTTCCATCTCGCACTGATCCTATCATTTTGTTGTTTGAAATTTTCTCCATCGTCCGATGCACTTTTTACTCGGTTTATCGCGTGTTGCGGCCCAGATATCGCGCACATGGTCCCAGTCCTTAACCTCGTCTGTTGTGATTCGGTCGCGCTTCGTCCAAATTGAAGCTATCCGCACATCTTGCACCACCATCGTCACATTCATCAACAGCACCATAGAAATCATCAAAGAAACACCAGATTCCATCATCTAGGTCGAAGATCTGCTCGGCAATATTTTTGTTGAATTTCTTCCATTTCTCTGGGCCGATTTGACTTACACCGAGTATGTCGTTTCGTACCATCGCGACGGGGCCACGCGACCGGTGAAATGAGGTGCATCGCCTCCTTCGCGTGCCTACATCCGCCACGTTGTCTAAACTCGTCAATCACGTCTGCTATGGTATCGCAGTGACTGCCCTCGTCGATCCATGTGTTTTTGGATCGTTTCAAGCTGATTCGGTGCCGCCAGCGCCGATAATACATTCCGGTGCAAGAGACGCGATGGAAGCTATTCGCATTTCACCAGCGCTTCCACCCAAGGGCGGAATACCATCGCTGCACGCCCGTAAATGATATGAAATTTCCATTGTGAACTGCAGAGACATCAGCCCTCGCTTCTTGAACGTTTTCTTCTCTCTTTGCATGAAATTGTTCTTCTCTGGGCTGGCGCTTCCAGATTGACGCATGTCTGCCCAAGGTGGAGGAGCAGAACACGTGTGTCCGTCAGTCACCGCCTCACAAACTGGCATGACCAACACATCGTCAACTTGTCTGAAAATATTTGGAACTTATGAACAGTCGTCAAGTCTGATTTAGAGAATGACTCAAAGAAAGAATTAGGTCAGTCACAAGACCTGCCTGGCAAAGAACCTGGCAATCTCACGACCTACGAATCGTGGTGACGAGAAAAGGAGAAGGCCAGTGTGTCACGTGGTGCCGCTTTCCACCGCCCAGCATTTTCCGCCTCAAACCACATCGTCAACGGCAGTAATCAGTGTTTTATTGGACCTATCGAAGCTTTTTTCGGGAACTTCTACGATGCTTTCGATATTATATTCACCTTGGCAATCGTTTGGTCTGATGACCAAGAACTGAGTATCCGCAGTCAGGTTCGCGGGTAGCCTCGCTGAATGGGCGCCCACCTGCCACGTCAAGGGCGACTCACTCAAAGCACAAGACATAATATTAAACTATATACTTGACATGTATAATGCCGGATCGAGGACTCTTTGGCTGGAGCTTTGCAGCCTGCAGTCTGTTCAACCGCATCGCAGTTGATCCAGAGACTCGAACGAGGCTGCGACTTCAATGTTTTGACTTTTGACGCGTGTACCACAAGGGTTCCCCTTTACCTTTCGCCAGCCCGCCTACAGACCAACAAGCACGACGAAAAAGCCAGCGGATACACGTAGAATAGAAAGAATAGAATCAATCCAAAAGAAGATCAAATGTCTATCAAAGTTCTTCCTCCCTTCGCTGACCACCGCAGAGACTTCAAACCAGACAGACGCGTCAACCGGATGCGCCGCCCAAAAAAACGCACTGGGCATTTTTTTTGCGTTTGCGCGCTGGCAAAACTGCAGTGTCGTTGGTCGGTCCGGTGTCCTCCCTGATCTGGAAGGTGGGGCAGGCAAGGCAGGAAGGAGAGGAAGCTATGACCACCGCTCCCGTTGCAGCTCGGAGCTGCCTTCCGCCCAGGTTCCCCCCGCCGCGCAGCACGCAGCAGGAGGCAGGAGGCAGCTTGGTTGGTTCCTGCTTCCTTGTACATACACTAAGGTAGACGCACTTAGGTAAGCACGTGAAGCAGGCAGGTTCCACTTGGAAGTTACATAATGCACGCGGGCTTACCTCATCTCTTTTCAAGGTCCTGGAGATGGGCAAGCACCTAATTCTTCCCGACCCCTTGCCAAAACCCTTCAGCGCGTCTCACGGATCGGATGCAGCCAGGGTTTGTTGGTGGCTGCTTTCATCGCTGCTACGAGGTTCAACAAAGAACAACCTTCAGCGAAGAACGGAGGCTGGTGACTGGAAAACCCTCAGATAAAAGGCGAGTACTGACATAATTGTCGATTCAAAGAGACACAGAGGGGTTGCGCCAATGTTGCATTGCATGCACCGCCACATATCCAAGGGAAACTCCAGCCTGACTTGGCAAAACTCAAGATACATACTGCTGTAAGGTGATCTGTGGCTGACTGGGTGCATCGATAACAAGATGGTAGTGAGTCGTGGGTTGGATTCTGGTGTGCAGATCAAAAATGGAAGGCTGCAAAACGACGGGGTTTTTCCTCTTCTCAAACGAAGCATACGCTCGCCGCCAAAACACGAGGGAAGAAGCTTCACGGCTAGGCCTGACTCGGTATAGCTGAGTTACTCTTGGAAATCTGTGCGAGACTGCGAGGGAAAAAAAAAAAAAAAAAAATTTTTGGACCAATCCGCTGAACACCTGATCCTGCCGGATTGACCCCGGGCCCGAACAGAGACACGGCGACGATGCTAGAAGGCAAGTTCCATCACGTTGTTCACTGTTCAAGTTGACTTCATCGCGGAAGTTGCGCTGCTGCACCAACCTCAAGCAAGAACCTGCTTGCCATATTACTCGAGACCGTACGGAGGATCTTCCTTACCTAACAAATTACCCAACGTACCCAATGACTTGAAGAGTTCGAAATACCGAAAGTCCGAGCCGGCACCCCCCACGCCCTATCGCTCCTTACCAGCACAAAGGGCGCCCTCCAACTACCGACCCAAACCAACGGGCGGCAACAACGCAGCCCGGGGATTGCAACAAGAAACCCGCTGGGGAGGGTCAGCCTTTAGCCCAAATTCAACTTCCAACATCCACTTCCACCCGACGTGCACTCGGATTGCCCTATCTTGCTGTGCTCTGCATCAAGTGGTAACGCGTAGCCGACGGAAGCCGAATTTCCTCACTATCCCGTCATCCACCTTTCGCCGGCCTTGGAATCAAATTCTTCATCTCCTGCTTCATTAGCAACTTCTTTTCTTTTCTGTTCATTTTGCCTTACGAAATAATAGATACCCGCGGTAACGTCAATGATGCGCAACTCAATCGCCCTCGGCGCCCGCCTAGCCCGCCTCTCCACGCCTCACACCCTCCAACGATCATTCGTGACTACCGCCGCAAGGAGGTTCGCCGACGCCACTTCATCTCCAGTATCTGCGCCGCCGCTGAACCCACGGTGGCTTTCCGAGCTGCAGGCGCGCATCAAGCGGTGCGCCGGGCTTGATCTCAGCGGGCAGCAGAGGGAGGAGCTGACGGCTCTGCGGAAGGCTGTTGACGGGCAGTGGTTGGAGTTGCTCGCTGGACGGGAAGGGTTCCTCACGGGTCCCGGATGGAGGGGCCTTGACAGGCATACAGTGACTTGGGGAGACCAGGTGAGTTTTGTTCATATCATGGTGCTTTCCGAGATGAGATGTGTTCGGTGCTGATTGCGATGGAAATTAGGATGCAATGGTGAGCTGAACCCGACCTCGGCTCCACGAAGGAAGGGAGACGATGAACTGACACACTACAGGGTATGGCTCGCCTCTCGAATGAACCGTGAATCTCAATCTCACAACCGTAGGTCATGTAAACAATGTCGTCTACAACAAGTACGCCGAGTCGGCGCGGGTCAATTGGCTTCGTAACTTTGCGACAACGGTGGATCCCGAGCACAAGGATGAGTGGGACCAACTCATGAGCCCGCGGGACATTGGCCTCATCATGAGAAGCATCAAGACGGACTACAAGTTTGTGAGTGTCATGTCCATCAGTGTGAAGCAACAGCAACCTGAAATCGCTGCGCTTTTTGGCGCCGCAGCGACGAAGTCAAAAGAGTAAACACCCTGGATCGCCCACACTGACAAACCTCTTCAAATTGAAGCCAATGGCCTACCCGGACCACGTGACGGTCCTCCATAAGCTCGTCTCCAAGCCGACATACGAATCAGACTTCATCCTGCTCGAAGCCCTTCTCATCTCCGACGGCCTCCGCCGCCCTGCCGCCCGCTGTTTCGAAGACATTGTGGTCTACGACTACAAGACCGCCAAGAGGGCGCCGTTGAAGCCTTTCATGGTCGACCGACTACGGGAGGCGTACGAGGCGCAGGAGCAGAGCAAGATTGAGTGTGAGGAAAAGGTAAAGTGTCTTGTCGACATTGTCGAGCGTCTTGAGAAGGCCGCGTAAGGCGCAATGTGATGGGCTGGCGCGTGACTGCTTTTCCGGTGCGAGAAGGGCGATTGTGAGTGAGAGGGAACGGTTGTAAAAAGTATGAGACATTAGAGATAGACTTAGATCATAGACCTCACACTGAGAATAAAGATTCCCAAGCGATGTACCTAGACGCGCTGGAAAGCCGTTGGAAGCGCCCAGATCTGAGGGAGGCTCCGGATCGGCGGGCGATGACGGCGTGAGGCTTTTCATCGGCTGAAAGTGGAGATCTGCGCGACATCGACGCTTCAATCGACACCTTGCCCGTGTGACCTTGTTTATTCACCCCTCCATCACCACCACATAGCCTTGCCTTGCACATCGCGCAACCTCAGCTGAAAGCCAGCGTCATTTCACAACATAGACACATCTCCGAGTTTTTCAAATTTTCTGTTCATCACGATGGGTAGCATCTCATTCCGCGAGCACATCCGCTGGGTCCCCGATGAGGCGAGCGAGCCGACGTCGACGGTGGTGCTCACATCCCCGCAGCGCCGTTTCGTAGACCTCCGCATTCTGAAGCAAACGCCAACCGTGGATGGCGTGCAAGGTAAAATCCCACGTCAACATCCCAGATCCCCATCACCACACCCAGTGCAGTGGCACACAAGTCCAAACTAGGACTCCCCGAAGCCGCCACAACTACTTGACACTCCAAGGCTGACATCCGCAACAAGATACGCACGGCATCGAGCGCCTGGAATGGGGCATCGCAGGAACCTCGTCATCGTCCACCCGCACCGACGACCAGGGCGTCGAGGTGCGCCATTCCCGCTGGGAGCACTGGATCGACTCGCGCACGACGGAGCCTGAGAACGCCGCCGACGAGGGCGACATGTACGAGCAGCCCGACGGGCTTACGCTTGAAAAGGGCCAGATGGTGAACCCCGCCAACGGCCGGGAGACGGACTACGAGGAGCTCTGGAAGGACGTTGAGCCCGTTGCGGTTCCTCCGGTCGGTGCCGTGGCTGAGGGCGAGGCGCAGAAGGGCGTCGAGTGTGTCGTGCTCAAGTTCGAGGATGAGTCGAGCAAGGCGCGGGGTATGGTTGTTTGGCTTGGGCGGTTCTGTCAAGGGATTTCGAGGGTCGGGGAGGAGGTTGCTGCGGAGAGGTGGGAGTGGAGGGAGGGGGAAGGATGGAGGCGGACGGTGAGGATTGGGGATCGGGCTTTGCCTTGTGAGGTGTTGTTGATGACGGGTGCGGCGTTGAGTGTCGGGACGCATGTTGTTCACGAGGAGGTTGTTTGGGATGTGCTCGAGAGTCGGTGATGATGTGGCTCTCTGGAATAGTGCGATGAGCTTGACGTGTTCTGAATTGTCGTCTTAATGGACGGGTTTCTAGAAGGCCACGGTTGGGTAGAAAGGGCAGCATTACGACTGAAGAAGATTCCCTAGGACTTGCAAATTTGAATCTCCTGATTTGCTCTGCCTCTGCTCTTGTCAGCCCCCATCTCGAGGGGTTGAGATCTCTGGATACGTGTTCCAGTACTTTCCAAAAATCAGGTGACAACTGACACCTACTTGACCTGCATGGATGCTCTAGAACCAATTCTCGTGAGACCTACTCAATGAGACACATGGAGATTCAGAAGTGATGGAACTGGGGAATTCAAGTTTAAACAGTAAAGAATATAAGTTCTACGGTTAAAGACAAGAATCAAGGATGATACGGTTCCTACTGACGCGACAATCCCATCATAACTTCACAAGCGAACTTCTACAGTATACCTCCTCGAAAATATGAAACTCTCCGTAGTGTTCGGCAGGAACTCCCATCGTAGCCGGTCCGGAACAAGTCCTGGTGCATCCATGTCTCTCGGGGGCAGAGTTTCACGCCAGCTGATGGCAAGAGATTCGCCAATCAGGCCCGAACGGAGGTGCCAGACGCACGAACCTAGAAGTACGATGTATGGCTGCTTGGAAAGACCTGTGCCTAGATCACTGGTGTTTGATAGGCCTTAAATCACAATTAACAAACACCTCGAGCAAAGATGTAACAGGACCTACTACAAGTTCTGCGCACTTCAACAAATTCGAATAGTTACTTTGGTTTGAGTATTCAAGACTAAGGGGGTCTTCCAAAATATTGTCCTCTTTGTGACTTACACGAAATTCAAGTTCGTATTTCCTCGATAACAATGTACTTAGATAGTCTGCTCTTGGAACAAAGTTCATAAATCCCATGGTTCAGTCATTTGGTCTGAAGGGCGATGGATGACTAGCCCATAAAGGTCATGAAGCCAAAAGGTATATGGAATATGTGGCGTCGTGGCTAGCACAGCCGTCAAGCTTTTTTGCAAGCCTTTCTCCAGTATATAGAAGCACCTAAGATTTACATCGCAAAACCATCCTTCAGTCTGTTTTGTCTCTCAGACCGTATACCGAGTTGAATACAATATCAGAGACTCGGAAACATCAACAGTCAAGATCCGAAACCAACCATCAATCAACCATGGCTTCAACATTCCATCAATTCGGCCTGCTTCCCGCCGAGCTGCGAATAAAGATATGGGAATGCAATCTTCGGTCTTCAGCACCTGGTTTCCACATCTTCTCTGTCAAAAGACGGACTACGAATACTATGTCAAACCGTCTCGGGCACACAATACCAACGCAGGCACGCCAAGATAGGACCTACGTCCTTTCCAATCCCATATACGCACCAGAAAAACGGTATCCGTGGCCTGAGTCCGACCCTACGACATATCGCGTCGATTCCGGTCTTTGGTCCGCTTGTAGAGAGTCCAGAGACATTGTTCAAAGGCACTACACGACGCTGGTGAGCCCTAACAGCGGCCAGGGCTTACCTGCACAACACAGCGCATTTGCAGAAAGCACTTCCGGGTCAAGCATCCTTCCCGAAAAAGATTTAATAATCTTCCAAGTCGCACCTGACGTACATGTCTCTGTCGGAGAAGCACTCTCCGCCCTCCGGCCTTTCTTTCGAAACAACGCCACCCGGCCATTGCACATCGCTTTCGAATTTACCGAGGACTGGAGAATCCGGCTCTCCGAAGACATCGAGTCTTTGAAGAGTCAACCGGGCCCACGGTCTTGCTTTATCCGCCTCTTGGAACGAACATTGTGCGGGCTTCTTTCGGCTAAATTATACCTCATAAACTACGACTCTGAGCGCGCCCCCGTCGAGTCACCAGTACTGTTCTCTGCTGGAGGTTACGATCTCAATGAGGTCCGCTGGTGGGCCCCACGGACTGTGGTGGTTCCTACATGTGCTGTAGAAGTTTTCGTTGTTGAACTCATCTGGCAAGGTGCGGAGCAATGGAGCTTCATCCGACCGATGTGGACGCCCGGTGTTACACCTCCGCCGTTGGTTAGTTACTTGTTTTCAAGAGCCGATATGACTGTGCTCCACTGTCGAGAGAGGAATTAAGGCCGATCATTCAGACTCGGGGTCGGGACTCAGGGAGAGATTGAGATGAGCGTAAGTTCTTTCTATGTTCTGTGAAATGCGTTGTGACTGACTTTGACCCAGAGATACATCGAGTAATAGTATGATGATATGATGGATTGCTCAGTGTTTAACCTGGAATAAAGCGGTAGACTGGCAGCGGCATGCTTCACTGCAAGACACCTAGTCATTAATCATACAAAGCTGTCTTGAACGCAACTAGATGAACTTGGCGTTTCGAGAGACTGGCTGGAACAGTGAACGTGGTGTCCTATTCGTAGCTTTGCTATTCGTTACAGGCCCTCATTTCGGCATAGAGGTACTGGCCTGTCGTACGTCCCTTCAAGTACCTAGCCTCCACTTAGTAGGGTGTTTTATACTACTTGGCCACGGTGACTAGAGTTGTAGAAAGGGACCTGTAGTTGACCTATCATATTAAAGAAGGAGAAATTTAGTAATCAAGCAACTTAGTGATCAGATTGGATGGTATATTTCGAGGTGACGATGACGTTATTGTAGGCCGAATATCATCATTATCGTCATTCTACGTTCACGACGTTCCGAATGATCCAAAGAATAAGATCGATCCGATTGTGATATGACTACACATTAGAGAGGGGTAACGATTCCGATGTTCGGCACTGAGGACTGTTCTAGGCAGGTGTCAAATAGCAAGCGGGGAAGCCAAGCCAATCTTCCTCATCTTCAGAGCGATTTCGTAAAGTCACACAACCAGCGCTTACTGATCGTAGCATTTCAAGGGATCGGGTCACGTTGGGGGTTGCAGAAAGCCTAAAGGTAGTTGTTGGTTCCACGGGGTCGTATACGAAAAATAGTGGTAGCAATTATCACTCGTCTGTTGGTGATCCTATTGCTTGTTCTTCTTGTTGTTCTTCTATCTTACATTGTAGGCAGGAGTCGGTCGAAGTAGGTAGTGACGGCCTGGGTGGTTGCCCCACCTTTATCCGGCCGTGATGACTAAGCCAGTTGTCCCACTTCGCCCAGGGCAGGTGCCAGCCAGCCCATGGTACCTGCCTATTACTCCTTATCAGCCTTTGCTGTTCCAACAGTAGTCAAAAATCAGGTTATCTCGGCCGGATCGCAACCCCTCGGCGCGATAACCTCAGCAAGTCCGAGCAAACTGATGTGCATTGGCAGCGGGGCATTGGCCAATCAAGACGAACCGCAGAGTCGCAATAGTCTCTTTTCGTCCTGGTCCGCTGTGTCCTTGCATCTGTTACGTTACGTCTGCAGTTCAAAAAGCTATCGCTTTTGTTCATGCTATTGTCCATAAAGCCCGCGGCCTGTCGTGTCATAGTTGACCAGCTCGTTTGAAGCCTTGCAGTATTCGCATAGTCCCTTCAAGAAGAACAGGTTATCCTGCGCGCGACGATGGGAATCTTCAAGGGAGTCGGTCTTTGTACCCTGACTTGTGTGCTACTGTCACTCTTTGCCGATGCCGCGGCCGGCGGCGGCGTGAAGAGCATTTTCCTATTCAAGGACGTTCTACGGTCGAACACCACAGCACTCAAGACCTCGGGCTTTAACACCCTCCTCATTTTTCGGATCGGTCTCCTCGATAACGGCGATCTTGTTTACTACTCAACTGGAGATGCGGGCGAGGCAGTCGATGCTCCCGTGGTGACGAATGGTTCGTATGTTGGTGGAACCGCGTTGGCGGAAAAGGTTGAATCCTTCAAAACCGGCACAACCAACATCAACAGAGTGGAGATCTCGCTGGTCTCACATGACACGACATTCCAAATTATCCGCGACTTGATCAACGCAGACGGTACAGGCTCTGACACCGTGTTGTACAAGAACTTTGAGGTCTTGAAGGCAGAGTGGGGCCTTGACGCATTCAACAACGACGATGAGGGTGTCTATGACGTGGCGAGCACCGTCAGTTTTGCCCAGATGCTAGGGGAGATGGGGTATCAGTATTCCATTGCGCCTTACACCAACAGCGGCTTCTGGGCGAACGTCACGACGCAAGTTGAATCCGCAAACCCTGGCCTGTTCGATAGGGTGTACCTCCAAGTCTATGATGGTGGGTCTGGCAACAATCCTGGAACATGGCAGACTACCCTCGGCATGAAGGTGATCCCTCTTGTATGGGTTGTCAATGACGCGAAGCCGTCTCAAGGAACGACCGCGGCTGAGGCTCAGCAGCGATTCGAAACCTGGTTCTCGCAATACACCGTGGCGGGCGGGGGGTACTGGAATGATTACGACATTGAGAAGATGGACTCATCTTACACGGATTATGGAGCAGCACTTACTAGTGTTTTCTGATGCAAAGTGCGCAGCAATTCTCTGTCTTGAGGCATCGTATTCATGTCATTTACCCTTGGCAGAATTTCTTCAAATCCCTCACGTTGCTAAGAAAAAGAAACATAGTCGTTACTCTGATCTCGGCATTTGTCATCTTGACAGGTTTGCTCCAAGATTCTTGTTGCATTTAAGCGACTTACAGTTGAAGAACGGTGGGAGCAAACATCGTTCATGTTGCTAACTACTCGAGATGTAGATCTATCATTTGATTAACCATTCATGAGAGCACTGTTACTTCTGAAGTGGAAGTCGTTCTGCCTACCCCGAGTCCCCGACTCTTTTCCCGCCACCTCCTAGTTTCGATGTATGAAAATCTATCACAAAGCGAGGTAGCAAGTGGAAGACATGTATAGTAGAAAGTGGCTTGATTCCTCTAAGTGGAAGATCCGTATGAGGGTCATATCTATATACCGTACAAGACGGGTAATCGGCTTGTGGAAAGCGGTATCGTACGGCAGTAACCGGCAGCGCCACGTGTGGCTCTGCGACAAAATCATTGAACAACCCTGAAACCAGTCTTCAAAAGGAGAAAAGACTTTTCTCCAAGATCTATTGTCCGACTGATTGATAAATGTTCCAGTGCGCCACGGACGTGTTGATTCTTTGGATTCCAGCAACCAAGCAAACATCGACGCCACACCGGCAAACATGACCGGGGCAGATTCACGCACCAGCTTTCCGATGAAAGACACACCGAGCCAGCCGGTCATATCGAATTAGTGGTGCTGGTAAGAAGGTGAGGTATGGCAACCACCGCAATTTTATTCTATGAGATGGATTACATTGTTCCCGCAAACACCATCGTTGACAAATTGACGCACGAAGTTGCTAATGATCGGTGACCCGGACTTGTCACTCATATCGGACTAGTGCAAAGAGGAGACGTTGTAGACGTCAACGCCACGAGATAAACACCAATTCCAGCTTCCGGGGATGATAGGGCTAGCTTGGAGGGGTAAAAGCGGAGCGAAGTTCTTCGTCGAGATCGACTATCAAACCCTGCCCAGCCAGAAATATTTAAGCTCAAGTCGCCCTGCCTCTTAAACTTTGTAATTAATCTTGCTAGTGGAATCTCTTTGCCCCTAAGCTCTCGGCACTACTCGGCTATCACTCGCATTTACCTACACCTACCGCGACAATGAACGCCTTTCTAGAACGATGTCCACCTGCTTACGTTGAGGTTCTCGGCAGCTTCGGCGTTCAAGTGGGATATTTCGCTTGTGGGATCATCATGGAAAAGATGCGACCTGCTTACGTCAACGCAACATCTCGTGAAGTTCTGAACAAGAGCCTTATGAACCACGTCATGTTGAATTCCCTCCACGTCGCTATAGCAACTTGCATGGGAAGCAATTCGGTGTTGTCGAAAGGATATCCCGAAGGATACCAGCTGCCGTCGTGGACCGAACTCACATCTCAGCTGGCGATCGGTCTAGTGTTGCGGGATGCTGTATTTTGGATCCTCCACCGACTCTTACACATTCCTGGACTGTATAGAGTGCACGCGAAGCACCATGAGATCAAGAACCCAGGCGACCATCACGTCTTCACCATCAGCTACATGTCTGTTGCGGATTTCTTCTTTTTGTACGCAGTTCCGATAGCATCCGTCTCAAGATTCTTGGAGATGAAGCTCGTCACAGCTTTGACTTTCTCTTTTATTTCTGCAACGGCGGAGCAGGTTAAGCTTGTTTGGGGAGACGAAGCCCATGACGAGCATCATGTGAATGGGGCGGTCAATTTCGGAGCATACGGACTCATGGACTGGGTTTGTGGAACTAGCGGTCAGTGATTTCTTGTCAAGATTCCCGATGCATGGTTACTTATCTAACCTCTTACATACAGCTTGAAGAAGTCCGTGACACGTGGACGAATGAACGCATAGCGACCCGCTGTGGGGTGTGCAATGCCGATCCGTTTTGCCGTGCTTTTGAGAATCTAGACCATGGACGATTTCAAAGACGATGGTCGTCATGTTGTGTTATTGAGTAATTACTTGGTAGTTTGATCCGTGTATGCCAGCAAGTTTTTGATCAAGTACTTTTAGATCTTTGGGAGAGGATAGTACCTTAGTGTTAGACTCTACTCAATTATGGATAGTTGTCGCGCTCATTCAATAGTCAATCATGTTTTGGACCTTCGATCAAACTATGCTCTGTTATTTTCGATGGTCTCTGGACTAGAAAAGGGGTGTCTTGTGTTATTCATCCATTTCATGAAATAATTCCTAAGGATCATGATTTCAATGTTCCTTCCGTTTAGGATCTTGTAGCCGCGCTAATTCCAATAAAAGCCTGTAATTGTAAATCGCAAAGTCCACCTCACGCAAGGATCTGGAATGCCATTCTCTCCCCTGCATTGCAATGCTCCTGGCTCGTTCCTGGCCGCTATCGGTCGTGGTCAAGTATGCAATAAGCTCAGGTAACTCTTCCATGCCCAGACTAACCGGCACATAATGTGTCCAAGGCATGAGACGTTCGTCATGCCACTCCCGGAGAAGAGTCTGCTTCAGTGGCATAGACTTTGATGCTAGTAGCTTGTGATAGCGCCCGCTGATACCGTTCCCGTCAAGATCGAAGACGAGCCGTGAGCGGAGCGCTTCGTTCTTGTCGACCCAAGACCTCACATTGAAGTACGAGTGTTGGTCTCTGCATTGTGTCCTCCGGCACTGGAACAACCTCGTGAAAGCGACGTCGTACAGACGACTGTTCAAAAAGCTTGAGGTCACACGCTCAACCACGCCGTTGACTAGTCTCAAGTAGGAGTGATGCTGTTTCTCGGGCTGTTGCAGGTTCTGTGCCAAAGCCACGAATCTTTGGCGGTGATAATCCTTCCAACGGCCATCTGCAGCAAAACCACCCGTGCTGGACCCAGCCCAATAGACGTTATTTCGTTTCTTGTCCCACTCGATATCTTGATCGTCGGCATACTGGAATTCGTCCTCCAAATATGCCGGGCTCGGGTAGACAATATCTCCCATCGAGGAGAGAGCCCCAGTGGATAAGACAGGCACCAGTCCTTCGATCAAACGGAACGACTTTGGTATTGCAATGAGACCGTGTAAGGAGACGTGATGGGGATTCTGGCACAGATCAGCAGCCATGGACGGGTCTGACACGAAACCAATGGTTTCGACGGTCGAGTTGTTCGTCTCGTATGTGCTCCTCGTGTGTTTTGGTGCAAGACTACCATGATCTGAGCAGTGTTTTGTGATTTCTTTACCGACCGGTCGTCCCGACATATTCTTTAAATTAAGGCGTTCATTGCCGAATGAAGGCCGGCCACCCACATTTCTTGCCGCCTGGGAAGGGAGGAGAATTCGCGGCTCGTCAAGGTGATTTGCAAGAAAATTCACATCCGGGACCTTGCTGTGATCCAGTCCCTTCAACAACTTATTGAATGAAGCCGCAATATTTCTGTCGAAAGTACGGTATGCGTGCTTGCAATGGGTTGTAGCTCGTGCTGATGAATAGGAGCAAAACCAAAGATCACTTCCCGTGGTTTCATAAGCCGAGCGCATTACTTGACTGACGTCTTCGCCGCTCATCTTCAGGAAAGGTGATACAGCGTCAAATATCATATCGAAATCGTCGATGATGGGAGACTGGTTCGCTATTGCAAAGTCAAACCACGTTTCAAAGCCTGGAGGTGGTTCCGCCTTATATCGACGAACGTAATCGGCATGGACTGCCGTGTAGTTTGTCGATTGCGTTCTCAGCAAGTGTTGGAATTTGATGTCTCCTTCTCGGCTGAGAATCTCCACAGGATGTTTCTCAGAGTAATCATCAAATGTGTGGGCTGTAGAAAGTGCATCTCTGGCGACATAGAGATTGATGATGTAGGGGCCGAGAGAAGCAAAAGCCAGTGCCCATAGTGTTGGAACTCTCTTCGCCGGCTTGGGTACCAGGTGTGCCATGTTACCTAATGCCAGTATCGACACCACCACATGTGAGATTGCTTGGAACTCTGAGGCTTGCGCAAAGGGGTCAAGAGTTGCCGCGATTCCGAATGTCCCTATCGCTGGTGCAATGCGCCAAGAAGTGCGTTCGGCCTGATCGGATAATGTCAGTCTCGAGACTTGCAGAGTAAGTAGATCACAAGAAGCCAAGTACAGTTCTTGCCGTATAATACCATGTCAACGCCTTAGAAATGCCCAAGAATACTGTGGCCGGAACATGGATCGTCGTGAAGTCGAAAACACTGGCGTCAAGGATCAAGCATGCAATGACCAAGACCACGACCCGAGGAGCCAATGCAGTGACCGATTCCTGAAGGGATACTCTCGGCAAAAATTGCACATGGCATGCTGCGCTAGCATGCTCAAAGGACGCATAGACGGTCAACATCGCAATGGCTGGAATAGCAGCGAAGGCAGACGCTCTGAGATCCCAGCCACATAGTGTGAAAGCCGCAAAAGTTCCGATCAAAAACGTTCCAGGTATCGTTGCATAAAGCAAGTATGACATTTTCGGACGGATTGACGGCATAGTATCGGATGTCGTGGAATCGGATCCGGAGAAGCCCTTGTGAGCGAGGAAAAGGAGCGGGGATAGAATTGGCTAGAAGTTCTATTAGTTAGAAAAGAGGGACAGGCACAGTAAAGAGGGATTGGAGAGACGAATGATACTGACCAGGAAGACTATGGTAGTCTTGTACTCTGCTCTGTACACCGAGACCACAACGATAGCAAAAGCAACTGCCCAGATGGATGCGGAGCCTGCGGCAACCCCGAAACCGGGACTTTGAAGGACAGGAGACGGGAGGCTGTTCTTCGAGGTCTTTCTGTCTCCCAGACTGTATGGGTTTTGTCGAGTACTTCGGTAGAGGAATGGTAGTACCAGCCAGCAAAGCAGCTCAGACCATAGCTCAGCGGCGTTGGAGGAGAGATACTGCGTCACAATGGTATAGATTGCGGCAGCTCCTGCTGGTCCCGTGATGGAGCCGAACTCCTCGATAGACTGCCATTGGAACATAGGGACAATCTTGACTGTTATTCTTGATAGACTGTGAAAGAGATCTATTGCGAAAGGCAAACGATTGCAGTGGATAAAGCAGGAACAATCATCTTTGTAAAATCAATACCGAGTCCGATGATGAACGTAGACGTAGGGAAAGAGGTGCAGATGAGGCGGGGCACTCAGCAGCCTAGCAGGGTTTTACAACCATGATTCAGGAGGTAACAAACAGCATACACGATGAGGAAATAGGAATGTGACCCTGGTAAGCAGCAGGGGGGTTGATCAAAGGGATTTGATGTATGACTTATGCTAGATACCGCTGTTTGGCTGTCCAGAAACACGATGGGGAGCACGGCAGGATCCATAACGGAATATCCGAACCGCCAGTAACTCTTGTACAGCAATTCATTGATGATGAAGATCAACGGCAGCTCAAACACACATCAGTGTGTAGAGAAGCTAGGATGCTTTGAATTATACGAGGCTCGTCCCATCTGTCTCCGAGAAAGAAAGAGATCAGAGCCAAGACACCAACCGAAGCCGGGCGACAAGCCCGTCGCGACCGGGCGGCTCAACCGATCCCCCTCCCAACTCATCCAATCATACAATGCGCTCTTGTGACGGTGTCACTGCTAACAGATTCCGAGAGAAAGACAGCTCTTGGTACGGATGTGGGCCGCGAGGCGGAGTAGCGTTGGCATGACGCGTTTGGTAATTACTCAAGAAGTGCCAATTTCTAGGCAGCAGTAAAAGAAAAAGAGTCGAGGGCGTTCTGTGGCTCTACGGCCCCGCGATTCGGAACGGAGCCGAGCTACTCGGGCTGGGAGAAATGGTTAAAACGAACTGTATTGAGTCGGCGCATTTGCATTGTGTTATCCTTGCGCCTACTTCAAGTGGGATGATGCTGGCGAAAGAGCGAAGTGACGAGTACTTGACCGTTGGAGTTCCGCATTCGAGCCGCCATCGGGCGTCAGAGACTCACTTAGCCAATGTAGATCTGATCCTTCAGACTACCCATGGTGCGGAGTGCCTCAGAGATGCTTGTCAATCAAGCTCAATTCTTTGTTGCGCCCTTCTTTGCTGATACCTTTGATGCAGAAGAGATAAGTTGAGGTATTTTGTTCAGTAAAGAACACTCGGAACATAGGCCTGAGCGATTGACGATCTCCGATGTTTGCGCGTCCAGGGAAAATGATTAGAGAAATATCTGTTGTTGCACTCACAAATCGTCGACCTTTCTGCGATACCGGTATGTATGACATTGCCCCCGAGATTTTTCAACCAATAGGAAGGGTGGCCGAGTTGGTTATGGCGCCAGGTTAAGGCCAGCTTAACATCTGTTTCCTGGTGGGGCAACCCGCGCGAGTTCGAGTCTCGTCCCTTTCATTTTGCCGTTTTTTTTTTGGACTGTAGAACAGCTCCATAACGGCATTTGGTCGATGATCTCGACTTATTTCTACTTTTGCAGCCAGAATTTGGCTAAACAGAGGTGGATATAAGGGCACAAGACGTTGCGGCCGCCACCAAGTGACCCTCGACACCTGGAGTGAGTACTCTCTTCTCTTCAACGGGGGTATCTATTATGTCATCCTTCACTAAGTCTGAACAGGCATCTATCTCTTCACCGCTTGTCAAACGTCCGGCATATTCTCTCATCATCTCTTTCTAACCGTCATTCCACTAACGTCTTCAAGCATTACCTCAAATAGTGTACCGGAACCGCGGACTCTCATCGCCCAGCTCCGCCAGCTCGTCATCAGAGAGGTCGGCATACTTGCTCTCCACGCGACCGCCCTCTCGCTGCTTGTTCTCCCGCCAGTACCAGAACCACATGAAGCCGTACATACACGTCGCCATACCGACCATGCTCAGTGTCACGGCGTGGCCGCGGATGTATCGTGGCTTGTCGATTGCTCGGCTGCGGAGGTCAGCTTTATTGACAAAAGAGGGTCACCGTGTGATAGCCTTGAAGGGGGGGGGGGAGGAGAACTCACTAAATGAAGGACGACATGACGCCAGAGCAGTTGCCTATGGTAAGCTGCATACCACTCGCCGTTGTCCGCTTGCCGTATCTCGGCGAGTTATTCGGAAGCTACGAGAAACACCCACATCGTCAGTTTCAACGAGACGGATACATCGAATTCGAGGTAACTCACCCAAGCAAGTGGTAACCCGACTACAACGTACAGCCCGGCCGCGACAAGGAAGCAACCGAAGTAATGAACCCCATTCGACGTCGGTGATATGAGCACACCGTAGCCGATGACGCTGATGCTCCCAAACACAACACAGAACAGCCCGCGCTTCTGCGTGCGGTCCGAGAGGAAAGCCATGGTCATGTACACCACGGCGCCGAGGAAGTAGCACGGCACAGTCAGCAGCTGCACCTGCGCCGCCGTCCACGTCCCGAGACCGTTGATGATGGTCGGGAGGAAAGTCGAGAAGCCTGCTATGCGTCAGTGACAAACTCTACAAACATCAAGAACGAGGGAGAAAAAAAAAAAGCCTCACCGTAGAGCATCGTATCAGCCCCAAACTGCGCAACGCAAAACACCCACACCTTCCAGTCCATAAACGCCTTGACCATATCCCCCCGACTAAACTCCTGCGCGCTGCTCGTGTTGCCGTACTCCCTGCCCCTCCGCCTCACCAACACCGCCTTCTCCTCCTCGCTCAGAAAGTACGCGCTCCCCGCGTCGTTGGGCAGCGCGAAATACGTCACCACACCAAGCACGACCGTCGGCAGACCCTCGATGATCATGATCCACCGCCACCCGCTCAGCCCAGCAACACCCTCCATGTGCCCGATCCCGTACGCCAACAAACCACCTAGCCCACCGGCGATGGCAGCACTGACGAAGAGGTATCCCACGCGCAGCGCGAGCTCGTGCTTGCTGTAGAAGAAGGTCAGGTAGACGTTCAACCCCGGGAAGAGCCCTGCCTCGACGACGCCCAAGAGGAGGCGGCAGGCGATGAGGGCGCCGTAGGAGTTTACCAGCCCCGTGAGGGTGGCGATGATGCCCCATGAGACTGTGATGAAGGCGATCCAGCGGCGCGGGGTGAGGAGTTTGAGGACGAGGTTGGAGGGGACCTCGAAGATGATGTAGGTTACGAAGAGGATGGAGACGGCGACTTGGAATTGGTTGCCTTGGAGGTTGAGGTCGCGTTCGAGGTTGTAGAGGCGGGCGTTGCCGATGTTGACGCTGTAGGTGGTGTGAGTGCGAGTGTGAAGTTACGGGGATGAACTGTTAGACTCACCGGTCGAGGAAGCTGAAGAGGTAGAGGAGCATCACGAGGGGGACGATGTGCATGTCTAATTTGCGGACAACTTTCTGTTCCGCGATGCTGTCTGCGAGCTCGAGGTCCCGGGCGTCGGTGTCGGGGGAGCTGGTGCCGGGGCCGAGGCCGGTGTCTTCGTCGACGCGGTACTTGCCGGAGGCGTCCATGATCGTCGTGGTCATGCCGGTGTAACGGCGGTGGGCCGGGCGGAAGGGAAAAAAAACTCTAAAAAAAAACTCTACGATGTCCCGGGTGTGCGGGGGTAGTCCGGCGATGAGTGGCTCAGTGAGTGAGAGTTTTGCGCCGGCGATGAGGTTGAGTATGGGCGGGCCTTGATACTCTGAGGGCTGAGAGTAAGTTCTGACAAGCTGTAGACGTAGAGTTGCCGCGAGTTGACTCTCGGAAACCAAGCGTTGAAGGGAGTCGAAAGCTCACTAGATTCCACCTCGTTGTCGTCAATGGGCCACCAAGGAGACCAGATCGCGGGGTTCGGTGCTTCTTCAATGGCGGGGTGAGTATGTGTATGATGTGTGTGTGTGTGTGTGTCGCGCAGACTGCGCAACAATGAGATTTTTTTCCTTCTTTGTAACCTGCCCCTCCAATCCCTATGTCGGCGGGGCCTTTGAAGGGACAATGGCACGATGTTGACTAGTCACCGAAACTCCGCCTAAAAAGCTTGACGGGCTAGAGGGATTGGGATAACTATCAACTTTCCAAGGCCGCTTGTGCGAGTCAGCCGAGTTTGGAATCAATTGAAGGGCTGTCGACTGGTAGGAGAAGAGGCTTAGTTGACGATGATGTACTCCGTAGAGCAAGAGTAAGCAAGGTTGGTCTCAAGAAGAGTCACTCTGAAGCGTGAGAAAACTTGAAGAGTAGCATAAGGTAGATAGATGATCGAGAGAAACACAAACCAGCCCCTCCCCCTCCCCCACGGCGGCGGGATTATCTTTACATGTGCAGATAAGACGGCAAAAAGCCAAGACAACCCTCCCGGGGCCTGGAACGTAGCTATGGTACGGAGTCTAGTTCGGAGCTGCGAGCACTCTGTAAACGCATCGGGAGGCTGGTCTGGTTGATTATCTTGCCTGTTTCATTTGTCAGAGACCCGCCCACGGTGTTGTGTTCTGCCCGTACGGAGTAAATGTAGGAAATACCCGACGTGGTGGCACCGCCTTGCGCTGTGTTTTGGTGCGCGTAAGCAGAAGTGCAGCGCACCACCTACTGCGACACACTGCACTTTACTGTGTTCTCAGATACCCTAGGAAGACATGCAGCCTATCCGTACTCAGTATTGCTTCCAAGTTCCAAGACTTGTTATCGCGATGTTGCGCCTGGAGTCTTGGCTTGCATGTAGAGATAGCTGCCACTGAAATAGTATCGGTAAGTTTGTGGCCGATGGTCAGCAGACTCGCGGATTGTACTCCCGAGTTTGTAGATTGTTGGGTAGGGGAGGTAGCAAAGCGGAATTTCCAACCGCTATTGTTGCAAGCGATTGACAGTACAACATCCATAGAATCAGAGAGTCTCGCGCAACTCCGCAATATTACCAACAATGTCGCCGAGATTCTCAACTGTGATGCCTCGAAGCAACCCTTGATCGGGACCAACTGCAACAACATTGTATGAAAAGCAATGAAGCGTTGCCCGTAGATAAAAACAAGTCACATCACAACGCAGGTTTTTACTCATAACCAGATCAACAATCCGCGACTCAAGGCCTAAAAACAACAAACCAAAATGTTACACCCAGGGACGCAATTATTCGTACACTCGTACACACATATATCCATCCCATCTACCACTTCCCAAACGAAACATCAAGAACTTGGGATGAACAACTGGCCCCTGCCAACAAAATATCACCGTGCTCTCTTTCGTGCATGCATCATCCATCAAGAAACAAACCGTGCTCAGCCAGCTAAAGCATTCTTCAACTCTTCAAAAACCTTCCCCTCTCCCGCTCTCTCTCCCGTGAAGCCTACGGCAATCACAGACAGCCCTTACAAGCAACACCATCCATCCAACTCCGTCTCATCGCGGCGATGATACATTGCGTGACTGAGACCCAGCAAAGCGGATGGATGTCACCCACTCCAAGTCCCATCCCCAGACGCAGTCAGCAACCGCCGCATTCCAACCTGCACGCCACGCTCCCACCGGCAAGCCTCGCAAAACGCAGGCCGCATCCGCCGGGACGCCGTTTGACGTGACGAAAAAGTCTCGAGTATGACCGATCCAGCGGGCTTATTATAATACTCCATCTTTCTCAAAAAGGCATCAGATGCCATCTCACCTTTTTAGCCTCTTTCAACACCTCAAGTAGGAAGTCACCCAAGCTCACAGCGATGGCTTACGACGCAAATCTTTCCTTGTCGTACACATTACGAAGATTATCTATCGAATATCCTCTACGTGGAAATACACCCGCCCCCCCAAAGCAGTCTTATTTCTTTTTTGAAACCTGCTTTCCTTGACTGTTTCTGATAACAATCTGTCCCGCATGGGACTCGATGCAACGCCTTCTCAAAAATGTCCAGGTAAATGACAATCCCTCCTCTGGTTGATTCTTATATGCATTTCCCCCTAGATCTTCCTCCTTCTTTGAATTCCTTCAATCTTCCACAAAAAAAGCTTACAAACTCGTGACAAAAGAGATTATAGCATTACCGATACCTCTCGGTAGGCATCTCGTAGACATCCGGCACGGGACCCGAGTTATACGCCAACCCCGGCGCAGGTCTCGACTGCTGCTGCGGTCTGGGCTGCGATTCACCCATCTCAACGACCTCATCTCCTCCCATCTCTGCGGGTAGGATCCTCGTTCCGCCCAGCTCCTGCGCGCCACCCGTTGGCGGGCGGGAACCGTATCCGGCACCCGCGGGCGAGACAGTGCTGTTCGTCATTGGGCTCACGCTCTGCGAGGGCGGCGAGAGCTGATGCTTGGGCACGGGCTGCCGTCTCTGCGTTCCCGCACCCGCTCCGAGCGCAGCGGCCCCTGCAGCACCACCATATCCAGCTCCCGTCTCGGACATTCTTGCGCCGGGTCCGCCGAGGCCGGGGCCGTTGGGATCGTAAGCGCGCATGTCGTCGAGATCGGCGCGGGAGGGTCGGTTGGCCTTGCGGCGCTTGTAGAGCCAGTATCCGATTCCAATAAGGGCAGCGAGTCCGACGATACCGATACCAACACCGATTCCGGCCTGTGCGCCGGTGGAAAGGCCGCCGCTGCTCGAGTCGCCCGTGCTCTGCGCGCCGCCGGTCGCGGTGGCAGTACCGAGGCTGCCGGTCGTCGGGCCGCTGTCAACGGTGGTGGGCGCGGCGGTGTCGATGGACGTGGAGGTGACGGTCAAGGTGGACTCGACGGTGATTGTGGTCTGGGCGTTGTTGAAAAGGGTGCTGGTGACCATGGAGGTGAGAATTGTGTTCGAGGTCGTGGTAAGGAGAACGGTGCTGGTTCGAGTGGCAAGAAAAGTCGAATCAGCGCCAGCTGAGCCGGAAACGGTGACGGTCACGGTGACGAGAGCGCGCTTCTCGATGACGCCGTATCTTCGGAGATCGTTGCCTTCGGCGGCGGGTGTGATTTGCGCAGCGGGGGCGTCGAACGGAGCGTCGAGGGCGGGAAGGAAGTTGAGACTGCGCTTGGCGAGGACGGTAGAGGTGACATAGTTGGTAACGGTGGCGGTCGCGACATCGTTGCTGGTAATGGTGGTGGTCTGGAAGGTCGTAGATGTGACGACAACGGTCGTGGTAACTGTACGCAAGAAAACTGTGGTCGACGTGACTGTTCCTCCGCCGCCGCCGCCCACGGTGGTCGTGATGGTAACGGTGGTGGTGGCCTCTGCCGCGGCTGAGGTCTCTGCTGTCGTGGCTGCCGGGGTCGTGGCTGCCGCGGTCGTGGCTACGGGTGTCGTGGAGGTTGGCGTTGAGCCGGTACCGGTTTGTCGAGGTCGGAGGACAGGCAAGGGTTTGCTGCCATTATCGACGAAAGGAAAGGCGGTGGTTAAGGAAGACCAGAGTAGGGCCGCGAGGCCGGCTGATCCGAGACGCATGGCTGCGATGCGGTCACTCTACGACGAGTAGAGGACCGAGAATGGGCGCAATGGCAGTGGTGAAGATTGAGGTTGACGTTTCTTGGGTGGAAATGGGAGGTTTAAACGGGGGAGGGGGGGCGAAGAGTCGAAGGCGGATTGATGATGGAGAGGAGGATGCGGCAGTGACCTAGGGTGAGGTAAGGTAAGGCGGGTCGAAAACGAGTGTGAGTGAGTGAGGTAGGTGTGTGTGTGGTGTAAGTACGAGTTGTGTGTGAGTGTGTGTTGTGCCACCGCGGCGAAACACGGTGGAATGGGGATGGCGTCGTACAATTCGGTCGTAGGAAGAAGAAACGAAACGGTGCGAGTAGACGAATGAACACAATCGACGGGGGTGGGAGAAGATGGGAATGGGAGCAGCCGTACGGAGTACGAAGGAGAGGAGGATCAGGTCGGTTAGGTCACGCCGGGTCAGGTTCGGTTGATTACGAGAGAAGACTTTTAGCGGAAGGAATGGAGACGCAAAAGTGCGGGAAAGAGCGATTTGATTTTTAGCATCGATTGGCGACTTCCCTCCGCTGTTCGAGTCCTACGGTATGTTCTTAGACCTCCCACCTCAGGTAATACCTACGGAGTAGTCTTCACAACTTCACAACTTCTCCCTCCCTTGACTCTTGACACGAACATCCTTCTCGAGTCCTAGACCATGCAAAATGCACACACACACACACACACACACACACACACACACACAATGCAGCCAAATCTGCACAAGTCCCAGCCAAGTGCCTGTCTCTCCGCAGCAGTGCAGATTCCGTCGAGCTTAGCGTCCCGGCCGACGGGTGCTAATGGAAAAGCCACTCGTAATAGCGTCCCCCGTCCAAGGTGGCGCGGTTTACTGGTTATTTGCCTGATCTGTCATGGCTCATGAAATGGTACGAATGGTTTGTGTATGGCATTTCCCCCCCTTCTCCTAGGACTCTCTGGTGAACTCCTTACGGATACTGAACTCCGTCTTCTCCGTTAGTCTGACTCTGGCACTGGGCAGCGCTTCTCCTGACAATGATCCATCGAGTCTCTATTCCGTACTCTCTCCACCGTCGGATACTGGGGAGGAACCCGAGCCGACGGTTTGAAAGAGGGGCCCTCTTCAAGAACTTCGAATGAACAAGTGACAGGAAAAAAATAGACAAAAGAGTGGGTGGGAGGGGCGTCGAGGGATTAAACCACTCCATCTGCTGCTCTCCCAAACGGCAGGTCGTCAATTGCTGCTGGCTCGAGGGCAGCCCAAACCCAAAGGAAATAAGACCAAAGGGCGACGGAGCGAAAAAGGCTAACCAATGTTTAATTTGGACAGGCCCAAGTAGGAAACACAATGACACAACCACACAAGGGGGCACAAAAAGGGACGACAATTCCGACACCGAGGGCTCAAAAATCCAGAAAAGCCCGTCGAGGACTCGAGACTCCGAGTCCCTCGACAAGGTCTCTCCCCGCCATCCGAGAGTGTTCTTGATGGTGATGCGCGCCGCTGCTTGGATACCCGCTGATTGCTACAATGGCAGTGCTCGACAAGACCCGTCAATGTCATTGACAGCCCGCGGTGGCCGGGCTCTTCGCACGCACGCACGCACGCCATCATGGGGTGTCCCTGAACCCCTGAGCCAGTGGACCCTGCCATGAGAACCGAGGCGCGGTGTGCCCCCAAACGTGTCTCTATCTCGCTCTGTCCGACCTTGATACCGTTTGGGTTGAAAGAGATGGCATACGGAGAGAATCGACAGCCAGTCGATGGCTATCAGCAAGAGTAGCAGAACTCGGGAGGACGAATGAGTAGCCAGGCGATACACGGCGGACTTCCATTGGGCAATCAGCAGCAATACGAGATTGTCGGAAAACCGCCTTGGTCCCGCGACGACGGTCAACGAAATCTCCCCGTCAACTCCAGTCTCCAGCTAAACCCCCGTGCGACCTGCCCCATCATGCGGACCGCGGGATGAACCCAAGTGGGCAACATACGATGGCTGAGTAACCAAGGGCCCCGACAACGGCCACGACGACGACTACGACAGCGACGCGTAAAAGAAGAAAACATATCGAAACTACCATGATAACGAGGTTTCTTCCACCCGTATATGCATATGCATTGCGCGATGTCTAAAAGTTTCAGAATGTTGCAAACATTCAAGAGTACGGGTACACCAGGACCCTTGATCATGATGCATGTTTCGCTTCTCCCGCCAGGATTGATTACTTTGGATCGCTCCCCCGGCCGTTAAAACCACTTCCGTGTCAACGCCGGCGTGGCGCTGGTTATCCGGGCGTCAAACGACCCTGGATTCCTGGTATCGTCAGCTAGCGCCACATCTGCTCGCATTCGCGCAACTCCTGCTGAAATCGATCTTTTGGCGCTGGGTGGGCCGTATCGCGACATTGACACGCGCCCAAACTTTTTACAGCGTGTCGAGAAAAGAAACAAAATCGCTGGTGTACTGTGGTAGCGGACGACCGTGCTCGTGTCTCACCCTCAACAATGCTTCGTAAACTATCCGTATCCTCGAAGACTTGCAGCTCCATACGGGTAGAGAGAGTAGTGGTGTTAACGTCCCGTCATGCGATCGGCGCGTGGGCAGAATGATATTAGTTTGGGCAGACGCTTACAGCAGACAACGCATAACAACACACACACACACACACACACACACACACACACACACACACACACACACACACACACACACACGCTCACACATTAGGAAAGGAGCCGAAACGGAATACGAGATCGAGGTGCAGCTGCCAGCGCCCCCAGCACCTAGGTCTACAAAACGGTCGGTTTAGGGAGGTGGACTCGTCAACGGCGTCATCCTCTGTAGATCGACATCCGTCTGCGACACGAGAGCAGGTTGTAAGGATTCTCGGGTCTCAAAGATGCTCAAGATAGGAGAAAAGCCCGACACGACCCAATCTCTCCTGAAGTTCAGCTTACCGCAGTAAGCAGTCTCATGGTCGGAGTCTATCAACTCTCAGAAAAGTCCGCTACTCAATCTCCTACCATCAAGCTTCGAAAGTGCCTACCCCAAAAAGAAGAAAGAGGGGACCGCCCGGGACACTCGGGCGTCGAAGACTCCAAAGGACCCAGTGGTTGTATTTCCCGGAAATTGCCCAGAGACACAGCGTCCACCGGCCGGTGAGTATTCCAGTCGCCAGTTGAGCCACACCTCACTCTGAAGTCCAGGCACACGCCGCGCTCACTCAGCTTCTCAGCTTGGGGCTTGACGGAATCTCCTACAACGTCTGTGCCTTACCTCTAAGTGAGTGTGGCTCACATGCTCTTCCTGAGGAATGCATCTCTCAATTCAAGCTTTATTTCTCCAGAAATTGCTCGTCATTTTCCCCATTCTGTACTCACAAGTGCGAGACATTTCACTTTTGCACTATTTGACATGAAGTCGCCTCCATTCCTGCCCGCTCCCTGCCAAGGCCTCAGCTTGAAAGGGTTCGTCTTCCCCATGGGCCTTCACCGGAAGAGCTGAGGGTCTCACTCAGAGTGACTACCTCAACGACCTTACATGATCCTCGCCTCCTCCAACTTTACACCATGATGCCAGAAGCGTACAACGGATGATCATAGGAGATGACTATGGTTGATATGCTCTTATTAGATGAGAATGCTTGTATTTGCCAATACTTACTATCACAAAAAATCACCCAGTAGAAGTAGCCGCGCCATTGTTGGCACCGAGGAATGCAACCAAGATCAAGACGTCAAACGACATCAAGACAGCGGGACCACCAACCAAGTTCTCTACCTCATCCTCATCAAGTCCGGGAAGGACTTGGCCTTGTCGGGCAGCAAGCAACAGCAACCACCAGAAGTCATCGATTTCCCCATCAATCCCCCTCTCGGATGTCGCGGTTCCTCTGATATTCGCCTACGAATACCTAATTGCAAAGTAGAGCAGAATTAGAGAAAGACCGGAGACGGAAGTACGAATGCCATCTAGTAGCTGATGGGATACACGGCACCGAGCCCTTCCTTGGGGGTTCGGTCGCATCAACTCCAGATCTCCTACGCCTAACGGCCAGGACTGTGGCCACGTCGTTGGTGTGCTATGTCGAGGAGTGAGCAACCCTGGCCGCGCCTCTGATTGAGACAACCTGCTTCCGCGAGGTACACATAGGATCGTCTCTACCCGAGCAAAAGAACCCCGAAGCTTCGACGCCGCCAACAGAACTTCTCACCGCGTCTCACTTGCCGTACGCTGTTCCCCGGGGTCTTGAGCGTACGTGACACCACCCAACAGATCCGCCGACGTCCGGACACACAGGGCCCGAAAGAGCTCAACCTCCTGCTCGCCCAATTCCGTGTCCTTTCCAGAACATCTCAGCTCCTCCCGCTCGCCGCCCTCCGCACCGCACGCAATCCAAGCTCGCCTGCTATCCAACCAGGTCGGCATGTTGATCGGCCCATCCCATGTTCTCGTCCAATCGCCCGCGAAGAGGTTGATGGAGGTCAACGAACTTTCTGCGTAATGCCGAATGAATCTCGCAACTTGGAGGGCACTCGTCGCCGTGAGTAAGGGCTTCGCGAGTTGCTCCGCCGGACCGCACGTACCCTCACATCGGATCGGATCGTAGGGGCCCTGTTGACGACGACATTCGCTCGCAACCTCGAGGTATAGCGTGAGGTTGGTCACGGCGGATGGGAGGCCTGACGAGATAGCGCGGAGGTCCTCCCATGGCCACGTGCCGTTGCGGTTGAGGTCGATTGTCAGTGCTTGCAAGTTTGGTGCTAGGTTGCGGATATCTCGTAGCACCTCCTTCGGAAGCACTGGCCTTTTGGACTCTAGGCTTTCTGGTGTTCGCCATTCTAGGTGAGTGAGTGAGCGTCCGTGGTGTTCGAGTATGGGTATGATGGACTGGTTTTGGCCGGCGTCTAGCCAAGAAAGGCTTTCTAGCGAATGCGGTGGTAGCGAGAGGGCAAAGTCTACTGTTGTGCTTCGTTCGAGTCCCAACGTGCGAAGGCTCGGTAGAGAAAACGGAAATTTGCTTTCGACGAGTGTCTCGGAGGGACCGTCGTAGTCTACGATGGAAAGACTCCGGATCTTGGAAAAGTCCATTGCGTCGATCCATAGTTCGATGTTGTTGACTGATCTCTGCTCGTCTGAGAGTAATCTCCATTTCAACCATCTGAAGGCATCACCCGACCAGATCCAGGCACTGAGGTGAGTCCAAGTACTCGGAAGACGTAGGTAATCCCCATCCGTGTCGTAGAAATGATACTTCTCGAGAGATAGGGTGTCGAGTACGGGGAGATATCGTGATGTTCCGGCAGGATCGAGGGGAAGGCTCCAGCGATCGGGTTCTCCTACACAGCCGATCTGCCCGATACGCAGTTCAAGTGTTGTGATTTTGGGACAATGGGTGAGAGCGTCGTGGACTTCAGCTAGGGACTTGTAGTCTGTGTTACTTGGGCTTTGGAAGGACGGCGGCACAGTGACTCTGAGTTCTGGGCCGGAGGGACAAGTGATGGCGTTGGCGGATGAGGCGATTCGGACCCAAATGAAGAATGAGGTGAGAGTACGGATGAGAAACATGATGATTGAAGTCACGATTCTGATGACGCCTCTGATCCTTCTGTTCCTGTTGTGATCCAGCAGCGAATGTGGAAGCTTATCACGTCGGCTGATAACAATTGCAAGGTGTGACCGGGCCTTGTTGGTCGAGACCCTTGTTTGCTGCGCCGCACCCAACCTTCTCCCCATTGGATACGTGTTGCAGAGTGCCTGAAAGACAGAAAAGAGCGTAACATGATGTACATTTCCTAAATACTGGGTGTCTAATATGAAAGCTGCCACAACGCCATGCTATGCCCCTGAATCGCCCTAGATGTCAACGCCTACGATCTATCCGAGAGTTCTCTTGCTTCTACAATCTCTCGGTCCGATTCCTCCCGCTTCCTCTTCCCCTCCGTCTTGGGCGCCATGCATATTTCGCTCCTTGGCAGGTCAATATCGATGATCCAAGGAAAGCGTTGTAATTCACCGTTTGCCTCGAGCGCGGCGTTGACAAACATGGTGCTCTTTGGCTCCGACGAGCTCATATCGGCGCGAAGGTATCCTGCGCTACAGCACCTTTGCCACCTGTAGCGCTCGAGTTTCCCTTCCCTTGTAATCTTGTCTTCCTCGGATTCGAACTGGGTGCCCCCGAGAGTTGCGAGATTATCAACAACCTCCGACTTGCCGTGATCAATATCACCAAAATGTGAGGGTTTGTCAGAGATCTGAGGGCGCCAAGCTACGTTCTTTGCGCCCCAGCCGCCGTGTACGTGTCCGAAACAGTGTAAACGAGGTTGAGACTTTGCAATAGCGACAAAGAGATCCGAACAGCCGATGCGCTTCTGGTCCGCAGACATATCCATGATCCCACGAGGCGGGCCATGCGTGATGACGATATCTGTGTCTGTTTTGATATCGAAGACATGTCCCTCGCTTTCATTGTATGAGAAACCCCAGCGTTCTGATGACGAGGATGATGGCGTGTACGGGCCAGCATAAACCTTGAGCCTGGCGCCGTTCACCAGAGTTAACTCGTGAGTACCCTCATCCAGAAGAAGTATGCCCTCTTTCCTGGCGTCAGTGAAGAGTTTCCTCGCCATTCCGTACCCGCCGAATTCCCGCTCAACTAGATCTGCCTCGAGGGGGGGCGGGGGCGTAGATGCGGTTGGCTTCTTCGATTTTTGCTTTGAATGCCACCGTGTCGAGGAAGAAGTCGTGGTTACCTGCGATGACGAGCGTGAGTGGTGCCTTGAAGGCTTTGAGCATGATGAGGGTTTGGCGGTATTCGTCCATTTTTGAGTGGTGGGTGAGGTCGCCGCAGTGGATGAGGACGTCGACTGGTATGAGTGGCATCGTTTCCGGTGGGAATATGTGGCCGTGTGTGTCTGAGATGATGAGGAATCTGGTTTGGGTTGTGGAAGACATGTTGGTGTTGTGAAGTTGGATGTAGGGTGTAGGAAATTGATGGTCTTGGTTGATTGTTGGAGGTGTTGAGTATGTGATGAGTTGAACATGTATCTTGTATACGATCCAAACCGTCTGGGGAATTAGATACTTATTTATGCGTGAAGACAAGAATCTGGAAAGAACCTCTTCGATATCATTTTGGATTCCCTTGGTTCCCTCACATATAGAGGTCCCTTGATGGTTATCAAGTGACTCAACGGTAGTTGTCAGGGTCTGTGTTGGCGGCAGCAAACTTGGAGGAGGCGAAAGAAGCCGGAAAACATCGAATTACCACGTTCCATGGGAGACTTTTAGTCATCAAATATTAAGATCAGGGCTTGGGGTTGTCTGGCGCTTGTATATCAGGCGCAGTCGCCGTCGTCGCAGCTCTGCCCGTCTTTTCCCTCGTCCTTTAGCGCCAGCGCTCTCTTCATATTCGATACGCCCTGTCTGGGGGGGGGGGGGCGTCAGGAGTGGGAACAGACGACGGTGCCAGCGCCAACATCGAAGGCTTGAAAGACTTCTTTGACATCTACGTGGAATCTAGCCGAGTTGGTGAATGGAAGGAACTTTTCGAGACCCAGTCCAAACTTCCTTGTGGCATCGATGAATATGATAGCTGGCACAAAATAATTCGCTTGAATGTTATACATCTCCCTGGCGAGGTCTGCAAATGCACCGGTCCGGTTTGTGAAAGGTTCACAGTGAAATGTTCTGAGATTAAGTGGTCCGGTAGATGGCTTTTACGCCAGTGATGTCGAAATGTTGTCCATGAGACTGGGAAGCAGCCAAGGTACCAGGAATATACCCTCCAGTGAACGCCAGTGCTAAGTTCATTGAATGAGCAGCATCTATGCTTTTCAGTCAATCCAGTCTTTGACGTCTCCACTATCTTTTGAGATCAGTAATCTTTCTCGCTCCTGACCCCATGAAGCAATCGTTTGTGAATATCACGTTCGATACAGCACCGGCCAAGGTGTTCCAGGTGAAGGCGGGTTCGAAAGTCCGCAAGGAATTCAGTCTGACCGCTCCGGACCAACCCATTCGGCAGCGAAACCCGGCTCCGGAGTGGGGGTCATTGGTGGAGAACCAGCAGGACATTCTCAGCCGGGCAGGGACGGAAGCATCCGCACTCTGGCCTCCAGTGACACGCGAAGCTGGGCGGGAAGAGATGGAACACCAGCCCCTTACATTCTTCTCTTGAAGAAGATAAGATCACGTGAAAACCAGTCACTAGTCACCAAGAAAGTCCCCTTGCTGCCCCGACGCACGAATGAGATACCCGAAATCGCCAAGCAAAGCCAAGCCGTCCCTCGCCCATCATCCCTCACTCCCCATCACAAGAACCAATCAACCATCCCACGCGCGCGGCCCAAAAGTCCCCGTACCTCTCTTTCTCCCTCAATCACTCTGCCATACTTTACCCTCTACCTACCCTGAAAGCAAACAGGCAGCCAAGCAATACAAGAAAAACGGCTTACGACCCTACGGAAAGGAATCCCAACCAGTAACCACGCGCGGCATGTAACGCCCCTTGTTCGTCCGATATCATCCCAGTCGGAGCGTTTTACAATAGGCGTCTCGAAACCCAACAAGGCACGCCCTCCCCAAGCGTCGTCATCTTTACACCAGGTCCGGTGCGTCCGAGCGCTTGCCTCCCCTAGGGCTCAGTCCAAACGGTGGCGAAGGAACTCGAGGAAGGGGATCCCATCCCGCAACGGCTCGAGCTTGGCACGTCTCACCTCATCTCGGAGTTCTTCCCTCACATATGCGCACATACACCACACACCACTGAACAACAAGAAGATGCGGCTGAAGGAAACCAACTGGACTTTTGCAAGAGCCTTGTGCCCTGCTGCATCATGAACTGTCTAAGTATACTGATGATGGCATCGCTAGGTACAATGTAAATGTCGGTAGTAGTAAATAGTATATCCACAAGGGTTGCGGGGATGACGCCCAAGATTATCATCATCCACCGATGCACTTCCTCACTGTCGCCCTCCAAATTCTCCTCCTCCTCTTCTCCGACGGCATGCCTGTGATGCCGTCAACCGTGTCGCCGATACCTGGCATCTTCCTGGTCCCGTGGCGTCCGGCGCAACTGCAACATGCGACCCCGTGGATCAGACTCCATGACAACCCGTCCCTGCTACATCTGATAAATGCTGGCAGAGATAGAGTGGTACAGGCAAGTAACGGCGCTGATATTGTTGACAAATAATATGGTGGAAGAGGGAAACGAAACGAAATTGTTGCCTTTTTTTCTTCGAACTTGGCTTAGAAGTTCTCCTTGCCCCACACGAATGAAAAGCTGCAGTGATGTTAGCGTTGACCTACGTCGTTAGGCTTAGGATGGTGTGTAACTTACCCAGGTTCACTGTACTTGTTGCAGAAAATGTGCAGTGTGCTACCCAAACCCTTGGGACCGCAGAAGAATACACCAGCCTCGGCGGGCGAGTGCAACTTGCGGATACCTCTGAAAATCATGTCCCAGTTGGGTCTACCGAAGTTGGTCGGCGAGCGCAGACCGGTAATGGTATCCTTGTCGGCATTGGCGTCGTTAATCATAATGTTCGTCGCGTCGTCCGCCTTGATCTTGGCCGTCAGGTAAGTGTGGATCTCGATGCGGTTATCGACATCCTGGGCTTCAATGGCGAGAAGAAGGGAGCGGAACCACTCGAAAGAGCCAAAGTCTCTGCAAATCCAGAAGAAGTAGACCTTGCTCAGGCGAGTCTTCTGTTGAGGGTAGTTCATGCGGTACCAGATGGACTTGAGAATGGAAGCGAAGGGCGTAACACCGATACCGGCACCGCAAAGAACCGAGATCTCATACTTGAAAACGTCCTCAGAGGCCGAACCAAAGGGTCCGTCAATGTAGACGCGGGGCAAGACCCGGCGGAGGGCGGGGTCGACTTCGCTGGAATCGCTGTTGACACCGACAACCTTGCTGGCATCGTCCTTCTTCTTGTCCCACTCGCAGCCGAGAGCCATCGATACGGCGCGGGTGAAGTCACCGACAACACGCATGTGGATGGAGATGTAGTCTTCCTCGGGGGCGCTAGTCAAGGTGAACGGGTGGTACTGCCACAGAGAGACAGCAGGGCAGCAGAAGAAAATGTACTGTCCAGCTCTGGTCTTGGTGTGCTCCTTCTTGATCTGGATCTCGCAAACATTGCTGGGGTGCTGGATGACCTTGGAGACGTACGTCTTGTGGCGTCCACGAACCTCACGAGCGACACGCTCAGCCAGATAGACGAAACCGCCGTACATCCAGTACTGCCAAAATACACCAATGGCAGAAGTGCCAATGCTGGTGCAGAATGGAGCAAAGTCGGGCTGAATCATGCAGAAGGCACCGTGGATGGACCAGAAGAAGAAGAATACGATGAACATGTGGTGGGTGTACCAGAAACGCTCGTAGTTGGCACGGCGGGGCTTCTCAACGGAGGTGAAGACCATACCCATCAGCGCGATCAGCATGACATAGCCAGTCCAGCCGGGTCCGGAAACAAAGTTCGCCAGCAGCCAGCCGTAGATTCCGAGGTTGTTCTTGGCGGCGATCTGGGCGAAGTTGTTCCAGTGGGCAATGGTGTGGACCCACGAGAAGAAGACAATGGACCAGGCGGTGGTAATGTGGAAGGTAATGTTCTTGTCAAACTGAATGATTCCGTTGAGCGGAGTTTGGCGGGCCAGAGAGATGAGCGTGCGGCAGACGGGGAAGAGGACCAAAGCGACGTCAACGTGAAGCACCAGCGCAGCTGAACGTGCAATGATAAATGTCGGGCCAAATGTATCTCTCGCTATTTGCAAGTTGTCCTTGAGGGCAAAGTTGACCGAGGCAAATGCGAAGACGAGACCGTGAAGAACGAGGAACACAAAAACGAATCTATTTGCAGTTAGAACCTGTTGACTGGGAAGAGAAATGGGCGTGGGTAGACACGTACACTCTTCGGTATCCCTCGTTAATCATCCAACGATCGAAGCGCTCCCGCATCGTCAAATCCTTTTGCTTCTCCTGCGTCATCTCTCCGGAGAGAAGCATGCGGGTAAGAGGTGTCCATCTTGATCGTTCCGAGGGCTTCTCGGAGCCTGCGTAGTAGTAATCCATGACTGGCGATTCGGTCTGGCTGTCGCTAGCCAGGGATTCTTTCGACGGTCGTTCTCTTGCTGAGTTCCTTCCGATCCGAAATATCCCAGTAGCGGGTTGGTCTTCTTCTCGACTCTTTCTCGGATTTCAATTAAACGTCCCCGTCGGTTCTTTTCCTTCCCTAATCGAGGTGATTTCTATCGTCGTGGTGGTGGCGGTGTGCGAATGATCGCGGGTATAATCGAACGTTGGGGATTGGTTCAGAGCCTGCTGAATGGGCGCAGAAGATAATGCATCTAAATGAAAGTAGGCGAAAAGAAGAGAAGAGTCGATCCAAGAAGCACGCGCGAACCCAGAAAAAAGAGCGGAAATTCGAGCCTGCGATCCGTTGGTCACTGGGTCAGCGAAGTTGACGGCTTCACGCGCGAGGCGGTAGAACGATGGAAGGTGGTGGGAGGGGGCACGGAGCTGGAATGTAAATGACAGAAGGTGGCGGGAGGAAGCAGAAAAGAAGAAGAGGCGAGGGGTTTATGGCGCACAACAGAGTTTTGGAGACGCAGAAGAGAGTGTCCGGGAGAGTGTTGCGGCTTCTGCTGCTGCTGCTACTACTTTTCTGCTGGTAGAAGAGGAGGAAGAGGGATGGGTGGCAGGGGGAGTGTAGGAAACATAATGTGATTTTGTGTCGATGATACAAGCCACGCACGCTGCTTGGTTCGAACTTCGCACACTTACCTGCACACAATGCCTGCACTCGGCGGCTGGTTAGAATTATTGGTATTCGCGGGGGAGGGTTGAGAGGATTGGCGATATTACTTGTTCCTACTTGCAGTAGCGGAAAGGGGTGTGAGAGATGGACGCTGGAAGAAGGGGGAAAAGGAAGTCAAAAGTGCAGCGTCCGGGAGGTGGGCGATCACAGGATGAAGAGGAGTGAGAGCGAAGTCTCGGGTGTGAAGTGTGAGAGGTGTGTGAGGTGGATGCGTTCTGGTTCAGGGCGGGGAGTGGAGGGGGGCAAGGGGAGGGGAGGGTGGCAGGGGTGCTTCAGGACAAGGGGGGGGTAGGGATAGGGGGGGGGTCGTGTGGTGGGCAGAGGGAGGACGGCCTCGCAGGTCTCGAACGGTGAGTGAGCATCCGCTGGTCACGTTTTCATGTAGCAAGAGACGCGGCAGCAGATGTTATTCATCAGTTCAAGGATACACAAGCAATGTTCATAGTAATAACTCAGAATGATGTAGGAAGTATCAAGCTGTCAAGACAGGTGCATGTTCAGGTACGGAGACAGGTAACAAGGCCAAGGAAGCCGATGCAGGTGCACTTCTTGTTGTCGGTCTCAGTGACAAGCCGAGATGGTGCGAGAGCCTGCGACATTATGCCTACGGTGGCTCGAGAGACAGGGTATCGATGAGTATTGGTTACCGCAGGGCCTCCCGTATGAAGGCAAGGTTTCCAGGGTATGGGGAGAACAACCACATGGGTGGATGGGTGTGTGTATTCAAGAACGATGGTGTGCGTGATGAGACCACGGACGACGACTAGTAAGAGATAGCATCAACGAAAACAACATAAAGATAAGAAGACGAGACGCGAGGAACAAGTGGGAAAGGGGTTTACGATGCAACTCGGGAGTGAGAGGTGAGACTGAGACTGAACATGAAGTGAGTATGAGAGTGAGAGTGATTGGTAGAGAGTGTGAGAGAGAACAGACCATCCGCACAGAGCAGTGATGGCGCAGAAATGCAGCTGGCGCAAACGCGTTGCAGATACGGCACGGCAAGGCAGCCCGTCGTCACTCGGCCGGCGCGGACGGCGGACGGACGCTTCTCTCGCGTGCCACTGCCACATTTACTCAGATCGAGGATTCGACTCACCTCACTCGAGATGGGGACTGGAGTTGAATACCTAGAAGGAAGGAAAAAAACGTCTGAGCATGGTCCCAGGGCAGGGATGCCAAGCTGCTAGAGCCTCAGGGGGCCAGGCCACATTACGCTTACTTGGGCGGGTCCGGAGATGTCCTCGGCCAATCATCGGCTACTGATCAATGCAGGTACAATGTTCTTGCCGCGCTGCTTCGGGACGGTGCATTTCTGCATCTGCGCTTGCCTTTCGTGCCTTTCGTGCCTCTCTCTTTCCCTCCCGTCTCTGCACCGGTATTCGTAAGCATGCAAGTACTAGAAGTACAAGGTTCAAGTCCGTCGTTGTCGAGGGCAAGACTCACCGGACGGTCTTGTCAAGTTGGGAATGACATCGCGATATTGCTTCAGGTTAACCAAGGCCGGCAGGCGCCAGCCAAGTCCCTTCATAGCACGAATACACTGCAGGTGGCCAGGCCGTGGCGAGATTCTTTGCTTCCATAGGCCCAATCGAAAACGACGACCCCGCCACGGGAACGAAGCCCAATGGTCCATCCGTCTCACCGACTCTGCCTGTCTTCCGAGTCTTGGTTTTTCTGTCTATCCCTCTTCTTCTTTTACGGATACACTGATACTCAGCTTCTACCCATTGAACGTGGCTCACCACCGCAGAATCCCATACTCCGTACATACACATCATTCCATCCATACCCCCCAAAAGTCATGGTCCCGGCCTCGACGCGCGCTTCCTGGCTGACGCAGCCCTCCTTTTGTGGGGCCTCGTTCCCGTTCCTGGGACACAAGGCCGTTGGAACGGGCTGGACGGCATCGCGCACCCACTAGGTTCCCTACCTTAATATCGAAAGAAGCCTACCTTATTCGGACAGCCACAGTCTGGGATCACCGTCCTCGTCCGCCAATCATATCTACCGTGCTCGACTCCCGGAATCCACTCTCATCCAGCTCAGCTTCGTCGGACGCTGGCCGTATCAAGAATTTCGGCCGACAACGAGCCGCCGACGACGACGGTGTTGACCGTATCCGTACAGCTAATTAATCGTCAAGCAGCCAAGCCTTTTGGACATCTGCAGTCCATATTACCATCACGGAGCATGCCGAGATAATCCACACCTAGCGACGGATACGGATAACTCGCTTCATCGCACAGCAGTATGCCCCTGGGCCTCGAGATGATTATCCCACCGGAAGTCAGATACGGCAAACCCTCTTCAATACAAAAACATGTTGTCGATATTCAATTTGCCATAGGGCAATGCAGGAAATCTCATCAGCCCCTTCCGCCTCACCACGGTCGTCTACGCCTCGTTGCTGTTTGGGCCACGTTTGGAACAAGGCTGGTCTCCCGCATCACATGTGGGTAATGAGGCCATAATCCCCCGCGGCCTACAAACTTCCAAACCGCCCAGTTGCACATCGATACGCCCCCAGCCAACAAGTACGGAGCACCACACTACGTCTTGACGAAAGCCAGGCGCAATCGGTGGCCGGTTCGTCGCCCATTCCTCGCCAGTCGTCACCGCAGTGGCTCCCAAACAAGACAAGGGCGAGCTTCAGAATACGATACGTACCCTTGGCGGGGGTCAACTTCTACCCGTCTGATTGGATCAATGGTCGTTTCGGAGATGCAAAAGAGGGGCGTGCGTCTCGATTCGTCGCCTAAGCCCGTGTCATAGCTTGTTTCGCCAGGGATGCTTTGACACAATTCTGATTTCACAACTTTTCTCTCAACCCAAGTCTCGAGTCTTGACTGCCTTTTTACTGATTGTGGCGCTTCATCGCTGCTACGGTACGGTGCCTTAGGCATACTGAGCACGCTCTTTGGGCCTTTCACTCTCTTGTCCCTTCGGAAGACTGTTAGTCGTCTGAGCATGAGTGTACGGCATGGCTTAACACACTTCGGCTCCTTACTAAGCGGCGGAACCGACTTGGCTCTCCCTCGGAAGCACTTGTCGATACTTGCGATAACATCGTTGGCCATTGTCTTCCTCAAGTCTTCCTAGCCAATACTTCATCTATTCAGTCTCACAAACCACATGGCTTCAAACACACACTCCCCCTTCTTACCGCCCTCCCGTCTCTATTCACTGACGCCGATATATTCTTAGCACTCTCATTGGCTAGGATCCCTCGACTCGCCCTGCCCTGGATCACATTCAGAGAGGCACCGGCTGCACATTCGCCATCTGTCAATATGCGGCTGATTGCCAAACCTCTGGCTCGCCTCCCGCCGCACATCTCGTCCCGTCACCACGCAGATTGATCCCCCGTCAACCACTCAACATCCCAGTGGAAGATCATTCACAATCTACGCACTCAGGGTCAGCTCCACGTAGCGGCATATGCAAAAATCAGTTCATATTTGAAGCTGTCCTACCCCTTCGCACCGCCAACGTAGATCATTGACAACCTCAAGCCAAGTTCAATGGTACGCTGCCGCCCACCGCTTACGTAGAATGCGCCCCGAGACGCAGTCTTGCCAAACGATCGGTAACAAAGAGCGCATGGCATGTATCTGCTTACAAACTCACCTGCCCTAGGCTCGCAAGGAGCTGGTGGCCAGCGTCTACCGGCGAGCCAGGTCAAGATCCTCAGTGCATGCAACTGAAGCCGAAGTCATCTGTACTCGGCTATCCAAAAAGAAAACACATCCCGCCAATCACGCCTTGTCAAGCTATCAATCTTCCGTCTCTCTGAGAGTTTCGGCTTTCAAATTGTTGCGCACTCTGAACCTGCAAGTCATAATCAACCCAGTGGAGGGGCTGAACATCCCCACATTTCAAACTATGTCTCTATCAGCCTCATTCCATCTATCTGATACAGACTCATCAAATATGTCTCTTCCAAGTCTCCGGAAATATTCTTAATTACATCCCGCATTCTTTAGCCTGTCAACTCTTTACCTTAATTGCTCGACAAGCAAGACCACCTGTTCACCACGGTCTAGGAACTCCTTCATGGCTCAACTAGTCCCCTCGAAATCCAAACGACACAAGCCCCTGTCTCTTGAACAGACTCCATTCCCACCTTTACAAAACACGCGATAATCGCTCGACCTCTGCCGGACACACCTCGATTCGACCTACACGGCACAGCTATCCGAAGCCTCGGAACGCTGCCCTCTCCTTTGAGCGCTTCTCGGACGCAAGGCCCGTCTTCTCCCGTCCCTCCACGCTGGAGACGATTGTTCCCGAACAATGGCCGTCTGGTACTCCGTACACCAGCAGCACTCGAGCCCTCGACCTCAAATCATCAAGTTTCAAACAATACCAGCCCTACCTTCTCCAAAACATCGTTCCCCTTCTGCTCCCCTTCTGCGTGTCGAGATCCGAGTAGAGCACCTACGCTTGAACGGGAGACGCAGGGCACAGGCTTCCGTTTCCCTCGCGCCTCTGCCTACCCGGCCGCCCTCTCGCATCTACTGACCATTTTGAGTAATCCCACCTTTCCACTCTTCAAATGAAACCACGTGCCCCTTCCGCGGCGCAAAAAAGAGCCACACACACAGTACGGATACCGGCACCGTTGCCGCTTTCTGGATAGTCGATTCGCTCGATTCATGAACACCTGTTCTGTCCCTGCAAGGACGGCCTCTCCATCGCCACAACACGTCCATCTCATCTTATTCCAGCGCCCGGCTACGTAAAGGTAAACGATTCTCTTTCCATCCTCGGCTAAGAAGGACCACCACCACTTCCAGATTGGGCCTCACACGTTTCGTTTGGACTGATGTCGTACATGTTTTCTGGCCTTACAGGTCAACACGAGGAAAGATCCAAGCAACGGCGAGTCCGCAGGGCACTACTTGCTGGCAAAAGCCGGTCCTAGTTCATAGTCCTCTTGCAACATCGTTTATGTGATGCATATGGCAATATTCCAAATGCGCCCGTTGAATCCACGATGCTTGTTCTTACCAGCGTTACCAATGAAAGGATCTGAGCGTCACATCTCAGCGTTGGATCGTTGGATGGAAGCTGTGGTCGTGAAGTGGTATGCCTCACGCCGGTCAACTAGGACGGGAGATTTGCCCTGCCAAGGACGATCATCATCCCTTGGTAAACCACTCTGATTACTATTCGCACTACCATGTCTTTGTTTAAGAACTCTCCGTCCAGCAAAGGCATTCTGTTATCTACGTGGATCGTAGCGGAGGAGATGAGGTCGAAGGGTGTCTAGCCCTGCGTGTTGCGCACAAGGCAAGCTGGACGTTAGTACCCAATCTCCATCTCCTTCCTAACCATGTCGTCGACATATTCTCTGCGCCTTTTCAGTCCTTCCTCTCATTGCGAATCCTTAGCTATGGATGGTGTTCGCCTTGGACCAAGGCAGAATCCCAAACTAGATTCCACCTCGAGTGAACATGCTGTCTGTCATTCCCGTAAACTTCAAATGTCCCTCATCTCAGATTTCATATCAAATAGCCACACATCCGTCTTTCCCACCGAGCAAGAGAATAGCTAAACACGTAAAGATTCGTTCTCACATTCTCTTTGTGACACAATACAGACAAAGTGACAGAGGTTCTGGTGATTGATTATTGAACCTCAAGATTTCAACGGGTTTCTGCCGGTCCCGGTAATGTTAAATCGATTCATGGCTTCGCTTGAGGATATATCACAGCAATGCTTTCCCCCTATGGCATCCTGCCAGGGCTCATATACTAATCGCCAACTTCACAATAAAACCTCGCCCTCACGTATCCCATCAAGCCTCTCCTCCCATCCATCGCGCATAGATAAACACAGGTACACCATGGGAACATCTGCCAGATTCACACCTTCCCCAACCCATCACCATGATCCTCGGATCCCCGGGTCGCCGGAGCCGGCGTCCCAGGCCAAGGTCGGTCTAACCCGGCACACCTAGAGGCAATGCCCTTACAACGGAAGACACGTTCCGCTCTGTTCGAGATGAGGAAAAATCTGTGTCAAGTAGAACCCGCGTTGAACGGGCCTTTAAACACGGCATTTGGTAGCCGGTTGCCGCCATCTGGACTAAGCCTATGGTGTTGACATTGACATCGTCCC